CAAAAAGTGTTTAATGAATCTTGCATGGCCAAACTTCCTGTATTCATTTTAGAAAACCCTTTAACAAAAATATATTTTACTTTGTCAAATGCATTAAAATTAAGAAAACAATTTATTGGGGCGTAAGTATTTTTTGTGTGTGCTAAATTGTGTTAAGAGATTTCTAATTTATCAACCTAAAGAATGAACTTGCAAATTTTTTTCTTATTTTTTGGGTATTTAAAAGATTGTTAATTTTTTAATGCAGATTTAATTTTAGTATCTAGGAATTGGTTAAAATATAATGCTAAGTCTATATTATTTTTTTAAAACCAATTACAGAGATGTAACTTTTCTGATTCTTTCCCAAAGTCTGCTTTTACCATTTGAGGAAAATTTTCTGTATAGACAAAGTGAAAATTTTCCACAAAAAAAAAATATTTTCAGCTGACCATCTTTTTTTCTTGTTGTAAAAGCAACTGAAATCTTTTTTTCCTACTAACAAAAAAAGAGACTATTCTATGCCAACAAATTTTTTCCTTATACAAGCAGGATTACATTTTTTTCTGGTTAGCAGAAGAATCCCTATTACTGCCACTACAGTTCGGATGAAGAAGGAATTGTTAGTTTGTCAATGTTGGTTAACTTCAGTGACTGTAAATGTGCACATTTTTACAATTTTTTATTTATTGAAACATGGTGATCGCTCAGGGTCAATGTACCTCAGGTTCAAAGAAATGGCTAATATATTTGAAGAAACAAATGTTTTCATTATATAACTTTTACTCAACTTTACAATTTTTTATAAGTCTCCATTATTCAACCAACCCCTCATCTATATCATGGTTGAAACAATGTGAGCACAGTCTGTGTGCACTGTTATTTTCATAACTAGTGTTCAAGTGGTTATTGTTTTTAAAGTGAAGTTTCAGTTGTTTGAAATGTTCTTAAAAATCTTGAAATACCATAAATAGTTTGAAAAAATTGCCGGCACTGTCACTGCTTCCAATTCTTTTCCTCTTTATCTCCCCCACCCCTTTTTTCTTTTGCGGGTGGTTACATCTCTGCAATTAATATTCCATTTGTTCTTTTCAAAAATGATAAAGTCGAAAACCAACAGTACAAAATGTATTTGTCTTAAAACCCAATCAGAATTTTGTACCATATTCATATTAACTGAAACAACAATTATGTACATTTTATTTGTGCCTCGCACAAGGATTCTTAAACAGTAGCCTTAAACACTAGCTCATCTGATTCATTAAGTGATCATTACTACCTACTTAACATTTAAATTTTATAGACAAACTAAATATCTAATTAGAAGTTTGGGGTTCCAGTTACCAAAACTTGTTCTCATCTGAACACTTGTGAATGCAAATCCCAGTTTCTTTGTTTTACCCGAAAAAGCTGACACCGGATTTACTACAAAAATAAGCTTCATTGTTTCATGGAAGAGGTCTGCTGTCAATATGAAAAAACACCCCGGGACATGCTGCGACACACCTAAATGACCAGACCAAAACTGCGCTCACTTTGATGGCAAGATGAAGACTTAATTAAACTATCGAACTCTTTTAACTGTTTACCATTGATCGTCATCCACTCACTGGATCATCCATTAAACGAATATCCTACCCAAAGAAAACACTACTTTTGGTCCCTAACACTTTAGAGCTTAGAAAGGTACTTGTTCTTTTACCAGTTTGTCTCTAGTATACATAACGTTACTTTATTTAATGAGGTAAAATTACTGCCTATGATTACTATGTATCTTTAGACACTAAGGTCACAATATCTCTACAAAAGTATGCAGTGTTTGTAATATGGTAAAATCTGATTTAAGCTCTTTGTAAAAAAAATGTCAATTGTTAGAAAAAACATGACCATTTGCTAAAATGATTATTCCCCTGTACCGTGTCATCCACAAAATATCAGATTCCAAAACCAAATGGCATTGGTTCATTATCACCTACTGTGTTATTCCAAAACATTTTGATATTTATTTTACACATAATGATGGACTCAATGTTTTACCATATCCAGTGCGCTTAATTTAATATTTTTAATGGCCATGATTCATAACATATAGGTCTTCTTCAACTTTTCACTTGTCGAAGTGCGATCTTTCCCAGCCACTTGATTTGGTCTTTGATGAGAAATGCTTGTACCCTCAAGAAGCCTGATTTATTTAGATGGGAGTCTTCTGGTGAGGGCCTTGTGTATGTTTTTCAGTTACCTGGGTTAATACTCAAGCTATCTGCTCCAAATAAAATAACATGCTCGGACCATTTTAAATGCTGATAAATTAAAACAGGGGAAAAGTAATAATAAAAAAAATATATTTCCTTTTTTCCCCCCACAATCTTTACCAAAGTTGAGTGAAAGCTAAAAGAAAGTACAAGAAAAATTAAAAATTGTACCACATAATTTGACAGACATAAATGCTCATCAGAAAAGACTTCAGTTTTCATAGTCATTTTAAAACTAATGATTCATACATCTAAAGGGACATATTACCACCCCCAACAGTAAAAAAAAATAATTTAATAAACCTTTTGAAAAAAAACATTTTCATATTGTTAATCATTCATTTTAAAATAACAATTGTATGTTATTCCTTTTGCAGTTAAATATCTAAAACTAAAATTGGCATAACATCAATCATTATAAAAACCATCTGGAAACTGAATTATCGATACCCTGTTAAGTTTTCCCAAAAAAAATCATGAAAACAAGTTATTGTGGTTAAAAGTATTTTTTAGAGCAATAATACTATTTTTAACATCTACTAGAAAAACTTTTAATTCTTTGTAGTTCTTTACAAAGACATTAAAATTTGTAATCATGAAGTTACTGATTAAACTATCATACAGCAGGAGAAAGAACTTAAAGGATTTACTTTTTATGTAAAACCATGACTGCATTTTTTTTTTAAAAATAAGAAAATTCTAAGCTTTGAAGAAATTCTACACACGGTATGCTGCCCTTCAACCAGCCTTCTATATATGCGGGTATTTAGTTACTACTAGAATACCCGTCATCCGTTGGATAACTGTGGGTTTCGGGGGTCATCCATCAAAAAACATCACGTCTGTCACTCAGAGGCATAGCGACCCTTCCCGGCGCCCGGGGACAAACTTTTCGATTTGAACCCCCCCCCCCAAGATTTCGATTTTCAACCCCCCCCCCACCCCCTTCAAACTTTTGATGTGCACCCCCCCCCACTCAAACTTTCCATTTGAACCCCCCTCAACCTTTCAATTTATTTTTCCAAACCAATTTGGCGCCCCAACATATGTCCCCCCCCCCACCCCCCCCCCGCCTCGCCTTCCCTCCCGCCCCCCCCCCCCTCCTCGCTACGCTACTGCAGTGTCACTTATCGTCACAAAAAACAGACCCCACATTCAAAAATATGTATCTTTTAAAAACACCGAAAACAACGATTTCGGACTATCCCTTCATATATTGACGTCACAGGTGACCTACTCAACTCTACTTCACCTGCCCAGTGTCCCGCAAAGTCTCAGACAACAAAAACGATTCCAGCCAAGCATGTCTCTGACCACACTATCCCTTCATTTGCTTAGGACAAAGAAACAGATGAACCCTACTTCACGTGCCCTGTGCCCCGCGAGGTCCTGATAGTCAACCTTATCATTCACATATAGGGCTTAAGAAAAAATAATTGAAAACGTAAAAAAAAAAAAAAGTTCTATTAATGTTTATGACACTGGCTTTAAAATTTAGCCTTCATTCTCCAAAGCAAATTTTAAAATGCTTTTCTGGCATATCTAGCCCTGGCCACCTATACCATGTTTAAATAATGTGAACACCCGCCATTTTGCTCGTGGTAAACATGGCCTAAAAATGGTAGGAAGTCATTCGTCCGGTCCGTACGCCATATTGTTGTTAGCAGCCGACCACGCCTCCAAGTTAGTGAGTAATCCTACTATATCTAGATATAAAACCTAGATAACAAAAAAATCCCATGTATTCTCGAATTAGATGATCATTGAAGCTAAACAAAGATTTATATAAAATAATTAAGGCCCGAAATAGATTCTAAATGTAGAATTTACATTAAGTCTAGATCTAGAATTTACAATGAGTCTAGTGACCTAGATTCTAGATCTAGATCTAGAATCTAGGCCCTAGGCTAGATTCTCGACAGCTGATCTTTAGACCTAGAGAAATTTATCGTAAAACTAAATGAAAAAGACAGTTGAAAATTGATATAAGTGTTGGAACGTAATAAATACAGCAAACGGACGTATTGTTTAAGTTATAGCCAGCAGAAAATTAGCTTTGTAACGCGTTAAACTTTTGAATGGGCCACAAAGTCTATGATGGGGTCCGCCATTTTTATTGTACCAAAAATGTAAACACATCAAGGGACGTCACTATCCCCACAAAGTTTATTCAAAGTATTAACATTTTTAAAAAAATACGGTTAATTTAACTATGAATAAATCAATAAATTAATTAACGTCTTTAAATAAATTTGTGATCAACAGTCTGTCTGCATTAAAAAATTATTCTCTACCTGCATACTATTTTACAGCTTTCCAGATAGAGTCGAACATATCACAATAGTCGATCAGGCAAACAAACAAATAAATATTCAAACATGTAAACAAACTTGAGTTTTAGTAGTATATAGATCATAGACTATGGTATTTAGTTTCTATCATAGACTATGGTATTTAGTTTCTATTAAGCTTTTAAATCGACAACAATTAAAATATCTTTGACATTAATACAATATTTGATATACATTTTTAATTTGATATGTCTTTTCAGCATTGTTTCCATCAATGTTTCAGAAACTTTGTATTTATTGGTGTATTATTAGAGGAACAAATAATCCAAAACTAAACCTTGAAAGTTTCAATGAGGCAATTATTTTCTTATGCATATAATTTCAAGAATGAACCACTGGTTTGCATTTGTTTTTTTGCATTGCCTTTAATTTATTCTGTATCAAAAATGTATTCAGCTCTTGTTTACTTACTACACAGGATGATGACTATACCAATGAAGTTAAAGAATCTCAGTTCCTAGAGAATGACAGTGTCTTGTCTACTGAAGTAACAGAAAAATTGCATGTAGCAACGTCTACCCAAGATTTGGAAAACAGTTATGATGAAAATTCCTCTGACTTATTCTCTCAAGACCTTGTTACATCAGACCTTTCCCAACCTGATGACAGTCAGTCAAAACTTGGGGATAGTAACATGGACTTTGTAGAAACTATGGACACACTTACTGGGGGTAGCAAAGATTTGTGTTCTGTAGACCGTGATTCATCCTCTAAGTGCATTTTCAATACTGGAAATAACAACTGTTTGTCTGAGAATGATCCAGAGTCATTCCCTCTATCCAAAACACACAGCAATACTCGTGATCATAACTTGAGATGTCATTCAGAAGAAAGATACTGTTCTTCTGATAACATTTACACATTCAAATCAGAAAGGGCAAAGTCAGTTGAATGCTGTGACAAAGACATAACAAATGTCTGCAGCACTTCATGGTATACTGATCATACAGACAAAGACCCTGTCTTTACATCATCTAAAGTTAACTGCATGTTAGGAAAAAACAGTGATTCACTCTCTTCATTAAAAATGCCTGATGAACTTAGTTTATGTTGTGCAATTCCCAATAATAGAACTGACGTTTCAAAAGGAAAACCAGTGTTACAGAGGCATTTATCTGCGGATAATGTTTCAGATGAAATGTCTTTGTTTAACAAGAGTAAGGTTATGCTTCAGCGTTATTTATCTGCTGACAATGTTAAAAGTGATGATTCTGATCATTGTGTTGATGGCGCTGTGGATTATTTATCTGCAGAAGAGTTATCACAAAAATGTCCTCTTGGCGTACATTCGCAAAATAGTTACCAGTTTTCAGATGATGGTCCTATTCAAGCTGAAGAAATTTATCGCTCATCAGATTCCTCATCACAGTACACTTTAAGCTCAACGCAAAATGAATGCAATAAAATTGGTGCTAAGTATATAAACAGACTTCATGAAAAAACAACTAATCCTTTTACAGCAGCTAAAGAAGTGAAGGAAATGGACAATCTTAATTATGTACATTCTGAAAGTGAATCAGGGTACAAACAGGTTGAAGAGTACAGCTCAACTGATTTTAAGCATTCTTTAAATAATAGCAGTCAATCTTCCTATAAACAAATCAATAAAACCCAAACTGCCTCATCAAATTATAAACAAAATGACTTAGATTTATCATCATATAAGCAAAGTTGTGAGGAAGATGTTGGAGAAATGGACACTGGTACATTAGATGAAGAAGATACACAACGTGAAACAAATGGTCCTGATATTTATCAGAGTTATGAAGAAAACTTAGTAGCCTCACATTATCAGAATGCCAGCATTGGGGATGGGCCCTTGCTAGCAGAATACAACACAGACTCAAACATCTCTAATCAGTGGAATATAAATAATAATGCAGAAATGGATCAGGATATTACAAATACTTCAAATGTTAGCTGTGAGAATTTTCCGTCATCATTTTCATCTAATCAGAACACCATTGCAGAAGTCAGTGCCACATCAGAACCCAGTACCTCTCGTGCTTCTTTATCCCCAACACCATTGCCTCAAGCACCGGCACATTCCCATAGTGAGGATGACCACGAAGGTGTTCTTTGTACTGGAGATCAGTCCTTCAAAAGTGCTGCTGCACGCCAATCTGCTTTGATACCCTTTATGAAATCTTCACACTCAGTACCATTTGTTCCAAACATTAATCCTTCTTTATATGCTGGTGCAGCTGTTGTGCAAGGTAAGATTATTTACTAGTTCACAAATAAGTTCAGTAGTTTTTTTTTACCCAGTAATCATAATATTAGGAAATTAGGTACTAACATGCTTTTACAGTAATTTTATGGCTATTTACTGTTAATAATGTTTTTTTAATCTACTTTTTTAGGCAGTCTATATGATAAAGATGTGCCTAGTTTAGTCAAGCTTATTTTCATTTAATTACCATATTTCATGGTCATGTTAACCAGCATTCATTAATTAGTTTGTTTTGTGTGCAAAGTTTGCACTCATACCCTTATTAGCCTTATAGCATTAACACAATTTAGACAGAGCAGAAGACATGGTAGTTATCAAATATCATGTACTACATAGATTATTTTAACATTCCACCAAACTGTTTATACAAAATTAAATGATCCTTCTTGCTTAATTAAGATTTTAAAAAAAAATAATTTAAAAAATGCAAACTATTATTTGAATGAGAGGATGGCTGACTTACCCACACTTCTCTGGTCTTTAAATGGGCAAAGAATCTAGCAGATAGTACACTGTACACTTTATCAGATTAAAGTGAATAAAAAGAAATTTTCAAAAAGAACATATTTCATAACTTTTAAAAAAGTATTTTCTAAGCAATTAATTTGTGTTACTTGAACTTGGTATTAAATTAAAGAAGGGAAAATAAATATTCCTCCTGAGTTAAAATATGTTTAATAAACCATTTTATAAATGAATCTATTCAGTTTAACCTTTCTGTTCTCTGTAGGTATGAGTGGACCAACAATTATGTCCAGCTCTTCAGTTCACATTGCACATCCTGGTGGTGCAACCATAATGCGCCATCAGACAGTTAGTGCTGGTGGAGGCATAACACAGGCAACTGTTATGCAGCAACAGGCCATGGCCAATGGTGCTCAGGCTACCGCTGTTCTTCAGCAGAGAACTCTTACTAATAGGGGACAGACCATGGTTCTCCAGCAACGCACTATGACTACAGGCCTAGGAGGAATGACTCAGCAGACTGTAGTACAGCAGAGGCTGGCAGCTCCAAATAGCGTTGCTCAAGCTGTTTATCATGCGAATGCAATGCGACAACGTGCTATTGCAACACAACAAGCTAACCTGATACAACAGCAGGCTATGCGGTAAACTTTACTTTTTTTATAGATTATAAATTTAATTACATAATCACCACTCTCAGTATTGAATAAAAAAGAAAAAATGTATAAAATAGTCAGTTATACAAAAATTTGTTCAATTAAATATTACATTTACTTTAAGTTTGACATATTTTAAAATTTCACTCCTCAGGATCGCTCAAGCTAGAGTCATGAATACACAGATGTTAAGAGCTCAGGCTCTTAGTGGAGCATTTTTACAGCAAACAAGCGCAAGAAACTGCCCATCTATCTTAAACGCTAGCTTAGTTCGAGGGGGTACACCTGGTTCAGTAATGCAACAACTTGTTCGTCAGAGATATCTTGGGGGACCAGTCATGCCTGGGAGGGGAGTTCAGATGGTTGCTGGTCGACCTGTTAGGTCAGTTGACAAAGTGTTAAAATGATTTAATTGATATTATAGGTCACTGTTGGTTAATTTACTGTAACTTTTTGATGTTTATTTATTGAATATTTACACAATGTTATTTGCATGTGGAAAAAAAATTATTTTAACAATAAAGCGATATGGGTTCTAGTACCAATCCTTAAAATAAGTGCATACTTCCCTTGCTTGCAATACTTCATATATCATACATTTATGTCTATTTAAGATCCATGTATTAAATTATCTTAAAACTAAATAAGAAATAAATTCTGTTTATAATTTTCATTGCAAAAAGTGGGTAGTATTACTGTTAGTTAACTTGTGTGATTTGGATGAAAGTAAACAAATCTCATGTATATTGAATGTCTGTGCTAAATAGTTTTACATAGCTGGACTACAGGCAACTATACTATATGATTACATTGTCCTACAGGGTTAAGCTGACTTATACAAGAGAAAGTTTGCCAATGGATTCCAATACATGAGATGCTACAAGTACCAGATGAACACACTCTGAATATTAGAGATTTATAAACAAGTGATAGTGTGGCAATCAAGAATATATAAGTTTCACATATTATCGTGCTGGTTTTTAAGGAGAAATTTTTGTAAATATTTTAGAAGTATTGCTGTTAAAAGTGTTACAACTATTAGACAAAATTTTTAATATCCATTCATTTCCAAAAAGCTCCTAATGTGTGAATATGTACTGTAGTTGGTAAATACTAATTTATCAGTGTTTGATTGTTGGGTTGTTAGAGACCAATGTCCATTGCATGGATTATAAATGTTTGATGACATGCTTATCTTTATATTAATTTACTCTAGTCAATAATGTGCATAATTTTTTGAAGGTATACTTCCAATAATACATATGCCTGAGTGCCCTTTTTGCAAAAAAAAAAGTATTATACAAGTTAATGTAATGTAAGTCATTTCCTCAATCATAATGTATTTAGTATCGTCATGTATTTGAAAAAAAAAATCAATTATATGCTTAGACTACTATTTAAAAATAAGTTATGTGGATTTAGTTAGCTAAACAACTAAAAACATATCATTCATAAATATTTTATTATTAATAAATTGAATTAGTAAATTAAAATTGTATCATATCACAACTTTCTGGTAATTAGACTCCTCAAAGAAACAAATTAAATACTATATTAAAATATGTTAATTTTTACAAGTCAGGTAAGGGTCATCCATAATGATTGTCATGCTATTCTCTTAACCAGACATGTCACCTAATTTTTTTTTAAAAATAACCTTTTTTTTCATTGATTTTTATTTTTATGAAGAGTATAATGCATTCTACTTCTCATTTCTTAGATCTCACACCCAACCCTACCCTTTGTATGTTCCACATTATTAAAGTCCGAATTTTCTTACTGTGTGATGTTTATGGATGACCTGCATAGAAGATTTAGCTCTCTACTTTTAGAGTTATTCTGGCAGTTTCATTAATCAATACTCTACGTTAATTTTTAGCTTTTAGAACTAATTTTACATATTTTATAATTAAGAAAATTAAAAGGTTCATCTTAGTAATAATGAAACAATTAAAGTGGATGTTACAGTTCACAGGGCTGGCCTCTGCACTTTCATGTTCACTCATAATTTATATACTGTATCCATTTAACATCATCTTTAAGTCTTTCACAATATAAAAATAAACTAGAAAAGTTTGATGTCATTTCATGCTGTTGTTTTTAATTAAATGTTTCCAATTATGTATTCAAATCAAAATTTTCTATGATGGTTTTAAAAATGTGTGCATGTTCTTTGGACACAAAAATCTAAGAATGTAATGGAAGCTTTCCATTATTAATTAGTTTTTCATTAGTGCAATTAAAATTTTATTACAACCCCAACATTGTAATCTTTGTTTCCATAAAATAAAGAGTGCAATGAAAAATTTAGTGATACATTGATAGGTATACCTTTGATATGTTGCTTTTTTTTTTCAATGATTATTATATGAACAAAAAGTAACCAAAAAAGGTTAGAGAACAATTTTTGTGCTCTTCTTATTTATTAAAAAAAAAAAACATACTGTGATCATAATAATTATACTGCCATGTTGTGTATGGTGTTTATACAGGATTTACAAGTTAAAAACATTCCTTTTACTGTATTAAAAGTGAAAACTTGAAGTTAGTGATTAAAATGAGAAATCCACTCACTCTACTATCAGTTATTACATGAAGTTAAAACTGTGTGAAAGAAATATTGACTGCTGGTGTGTGCTTGAATGTGACATTAGTTTGTATTCTACTTTTAAACCAGGCTTGTGTTTGAAAATAGTACCATATGATGAGTGTACAATATATTGCTGTACGTAAAATAATAATGCTTTGTGGTTTTTTTTTTACATTATTAATTTGCTCTGTTCATTGGAATGTTTGGATTTTTATGATCGTCATTATTTAAGGCATTTCACATTAATCGGTTTAGATTCCCCATAACACATCCTAGCTGTTTCATTTCTTTTAAAAATTTAAGCTATTGTTATTTTAATTTGCAAAAATTTTTTTTTTTGTTTTGTTCGTTTCTTTACATTAATCATTAAGAATAATTTCAGATTTATTTTCATGGGTAATTTTGTATTTTAAGGTAGGTAAAGATTTTTTTATGTCTTCTACCTCAAAGCTGTACCCAACCTAATTGTATTGGTTTTGAGTTAGTTTTAGCTTTCTTTTAAACAGCTATCTAAAAAATAGTTGATGTTGTTTTATTATGGGGGAAAATGTTTAATTACCACAAAATGTATAGTGACTTTTTCATGGTAATGACATGATCAAAAATTATGTACAGGTAACTCAATATCACTTCAGTATTTAATTGTTTAACATGATGTTGTTTTATGTTGTTTATTAGTCAAACGTTTTAATAAATTATTTTTACATTCCCCATTTTTCTTCAGGTTATTTGAAAAAAAATTAAACGTTAATTTATACTCCTTAATAAAGAAAGAAATATATGTAAACAATTTAGGATATTTAAAATTTTAATGTACATTTTAAAAAAAATCAATTGTTAAACTTGCAAAAAAAAGATTCATTGTATCACATTTCAGTAAACTCTTTTATTAAATGTGAACACCTTTTATTTCAAACGTTAATGTCATAGACGCCAGATCAATCAAATAGATGCTAGTTTTGGCACTTCTATCGCATAAATAATGCATATTGTACTCAGTCTTCAGTTGCAGCCCAATGATCTGTTTTCCCAAATGTCTTAAAGTTAAAGGAAAATTCTGGACAAAGGATATTTATTTGGTAGGGAAGAATAACTTCCCATCCCAATACATTATACAAGTAGTCATTAAGTTAAAGCAAGACCACGGCAGATTTAAACCACCTGCTGGGGGAAAGATATTCCTGTCATGCCAAAAGTAATTAATTATATTGGATGAAGTAGTATCCACTATTCTTCAATTGTCAAAGTTAAATGGGTTTTTTTTATGAAACGCTGAGACTAAGAGTGAAACTGTATAAAGTTATAGGGAATTACTGGCTTCCACGTAACCTGAAATCATAGATTTATTATATTAGTGTATGGAGCAGATCCCTCGATGAATAGGAAACGCACATATCGGTCTTTAGTAAAATTTAAAAAAATAAATAAAAATAAATTTTCATAGAAAGAAATTCTAGATCTGCAAGTGACTAGTAAAAAAATTAACCCAGAGAAGTAAAGATTGAGTTCTATTGGTCACACTATATGTAGATAGTAAAGCTACGTCACTAAACCCCACTGATCTTCAAAACCCAGGGGCAGCAGAAAACAAGCCACGCATATAGATCTAACCGTCTTTCACTTTGGTAGTATTGTGGACCTTCAGGGCAAGACAGATGCAGATGTTAAACTCAAGGATCGTCAAAGCAAGAGCAGCCTTCGCTCAGTAAAGGAATATCTGGGCTTCCAGTGAGCTTTCCTTGGTCACCAAGGTGCTAATTTTTTTTATTTTCAACTACAATAGGCCTACAATGTAAAAATCAGTGCTGCTGTAAGGAGCAGATATTTGGAGGACGCTGAAGACCACCTTTGATGAAGTCAGACATTTGCCTCAGACAAATACTCAGGATCCGTTGGTTCGACAGCATGAACAACGCACTCCTATGGGAAACGTGAGGACAACTTTACGTTGATGAAAAAAAAAATTAGGAATTGAAGATGGAGTTGTTTGGTAGGGCACACACTGTACAGACCGCCAACCCATACCACCAGGCAGGTATTGAGTTGTAACCCACAAGCAGTGTTTCTTCAAGACTTTTTTTCTCCGGGGGGGGGGGGGGGGGGGCACTGGTAAAAGTATGTTTTCCATATAAATTCCATTTCGTTCGCGCCCCCCCCCCCCCTCCAAGAGATGCCTGAAAGAAACTCTGCCCACAAGGAAAGCGAAAAAGAGTTCGACCTAGAAGCACATTGATTTGAAGCCTATAACTACAAGTTGAGAATATGGCACAGGACAAAAGACTCGGAGAGACCTTTCCCTATCAGGGATGACAGGCAGTGATGATGATGATAGCGAATTGATACAGATCTAAGACCTAAGTTCTAACACGACAACGCAAAATCGAGGCAGGCTCACCAAGCAAATGATACTTATAGTAATACTTAAAATAAAATTATAATAATTATAATATTATATTCAGCTGAAAAGAATTATCCAGAGGAGTGGAAATTTGTTTCTGACAGCTCATATCCACCAGGTATGATGTAAGCAGCAGACAGTCAACTATTAATTAGACTGACATTGTGACAAAAAAAACTACTCTCTCTAACTTTAACTGGCGCTCTACTAGGGGCCGAGTGGGAAGGCAAAGAAGTTATTCATGCTTTGCAGAGGCGTAGCGACCCTTCCCGGGGACAAACTTTCAATTTGTCGCCCCACTCAGGAGCAAATGTTCAATTTTGCACCCCCCCCCCCTCAAATTACTTATAATGCAAAAATGCAGCTAAAATGACATTTTAATTTGTTTTTAGAACCCATTTTGGCGCCCCCTAAGGTCGGCGCCCGGGGACATATGTACCCCTGCCCCCCCCCTCCCCATCGCTACGCCTCTGATGCTTTGAGATATAGTTTTAATTTTTTTAGGTATTTTGAAATACATATATAGATCAAGTAGTTGACAGTTTCATGTTCGAATTTCCGAAAGGTGAGTTGTTTTTTTCTTTGGCCTCTTTGCAGCTGGAAATTGTTTCAAACTTATTCGTCTATAGTCTATACTCCGTATACGAGAACTTAAATAAAGCAGGAGTGATCTCTAATCTTTCACTTATTTTTCTTAAGTAAATAACAAAAAGGGTTGGGGGATGGCACTTCCAGTGCAAACACCATATAGAACTGTGTCAACACCACTCGTTGTTTATGGTTTATGATTATAAAATATCAAATTATCAAATTGAATATTTTTGAGAACTTGAAAATAGAGCGAAATTACTACTTCCGGTCAACGGAAATTACTCAAAATTTAACAGAAGGCAGAGAATTAGATTTTTTACTTACTTGTGAAATTTCATTTATCTATCTGAAACAGTACTCAAATTATAGGCTTTTGAAAAATTGAAAGTAGAATAAATTCCCCTTCCGTTTACCGGAAATCGCTGAAAAGATGATAGAGAACTACAAATTTGATATAATACTTAAGTTATATATGCAATTTCATCAACCAAGCTGTAACGGTACTCAAGTTATCGTGTTTACAGACATACATTCATACACACAGAGACATACTTACAAAATCGCAAAACTATGTTTTTCCTACTCAGGAAGGTGTAAAACTTCGACATTTTTAAAAATCTCAATTTTTTTTTCTTTTTGCACGATTACAGTACTTCCTCTATACTTCGTAAACGAGAAAGTAAAAAGTGCAGAACAAATTGTACAGGTTGAAGAAGGAGTAATAACTGGTCTGTTAATGGTGAAAGAACAAAACTCTCAGCTTATAATCAGCAAAGATAAATGGTTTGAACTTTCTAAATCAATATGCAATTCAACTGGATCGTCAAGAAAACAAACTCATCAGCTTTTATGGCTCGGAGATAGTTATCCGCTGTTCCCTAGCTGCGTATCAATTCAGATTGAAAATTCATCGAGAGCTATAACGATATTAAGAATAAGATGTGAGTAAAACATCTTTGGGGCAGTGACAAACAACAACGCTAGTTGTTTGGTCAAAATCTTTGTAGGCTTGTTATCCTAATCGCTTCAGTAACAACTGAATTGTGAAACTAAAATTATAACCACTTTAAAACCAGTGTTTCTTCCAGACTTTTTTCTCCGGGGGGGGGGGGGGCACTTGAAATTTCGGGGGGGGGGGGGGGGGGCGGGCGGTAGACTTTCTTCGGGGGGGGGGGCGGACACTGTTAAAAGTATATATTTTCTATATAAATTATATAAATTTCATTTCGTTCGGGGGGGGGGGGGGGGTAGAAAAGTTGCCTGGAAGAAACGTCACTTTTTAAAAATTCAATTTTAAGCTCCAACCCCATTGTCACACATCCACACGAAAGTTAGAACACCCAAAATGACATTACACCCCCCTCCCTCTTAATATACACTTTAGCCAACGTTTTTTATCACTTTTAAATCTATTGCAACTCATTGACACGTGTTGCTAAACCGAAAAATCTCGAGTTCGAACCCTCGGGCAGATGAGGCTCGTTAGCTGAGGACAGCAGCTCTTCTAGGAGAGACAACTCCAAAATCAAACAACTGCTGCCTTGTAGCTTGTTCTTGGTTGGACAAAGGCTATGGAAGCAAATCCAAAAAGAAAAGCAGGCTAAAATCGGAGTCAATGGCCTCAATGGCGCATAACCAGTTGACACGTATCCTTAATTGTGATGGAGGCGTGGTCGAGTTGGCCAAAGCTAATGGTTGATAAATGCGAAAAAGTCTCGAGTTCAAACCCTCTGTCAGATAAGGCTCGATCCCCTCCAACACTAAAAATTAAGAACGAAGAAGAAGAAGATTGACACGTGCATCGCACAAGCCCTATGTGGATCAAGGTAATGAAAACAGTTTTTCTTCCAGACTTTTTTCTCCGGAGGGGGGGGGGGGGGCTTGAACTTTTCGGGGGGGGGGGGGGGGGGGGGGAGGGCAGAGCCCCCACCCCCGAAGAGATGCCTTTGAAGAAACTGAATGAAAAGCTGAAGGATTATATTATTTCAAAATGTTTTTTGAAATCCTTGTAAACCTGACGACACACTTGCAAATAGCAGTATAGGGGGTCATCCATAAATGACGTCACGCTTTTTTTGACGATTTTTACCTCCCCCCTCCCCTCTGTCACACGTCGTCACAAAAAGCCAGACCCCCCCCCCTAAAATGATCGACGTCACACCTCAACCTACAACCCCCCCTCAAAATTGCAGTTGAATTTTTTAAAAACATCGATATTTTTAATTTTTCTAAAATCTTGTCTAAACTATTACAATTACAATTTATTAAAATAGTTATCTAAAACGCGAAATAACGTCTAAAATTCGTTTTCTAACATTGATTTTTATAATGCAAAAGTGTGACGTCGCAACATCTGAACCCCCCCCTCCCCTCATCACACATCGTCACAAAATTACGGACCCCCCCTCCCCCCTACGAGTGTGACGTCATTTATGGATGACCCCATAGCACTTTGTCCAAGCTTTTACTTTTCCCTGCTCAATTAAGACAGTGTGACGTCCCCCTACCCTAGTATTTTCCAGTCATTTTTCTTCGAGAGGGGGGGGCACTTTAAAATTTCGGGAGTAGGGGGTCCCCCCCCCCCCCCCCCCCCATCTTGTATAATAAAACCTGTTTTTCTGTTAAACCTGAGACAGTGTAGTTTTCGGAATAACATTAACGTAGCAGATCTCTAGACCTAACATATTCTTTTCACCAATGAGGTAATTAGAACGCTTTTGCCCGTTCCTACACTTTGGTCATGTGACATTACTCGGAACGTCATCATCATGGCAGAACACCCGGCTGAGAACGAAATAAAACAGATATTCAAACGTTTATTATCAATACCAACAAATAAGGTGAACACATAACTAATTTTAAAAATATGTATCTAATCAGGGGAATGAAATATCTCTAGTTAATAGGTAGCCTAAATAAATTACACCGCGTAACTGATCTAACCAGTCAGTATTCTGACCTAATTCACACTGAATCCTCAGCTGTGTGACTGACTGAGCCAATCTGATCAAGTGATCAGCAATCACCATTCCCTTCTGTTAGATTGTTCAATCAGCAGGACAGGAACATACTGTAGTTTTTGTTCTAACCCAGTAATTTGAATCGTTTTTCTCCATACAACTTCCACCCAAGGCCATAGTGAAACTATTGGTGTTAACTAAGTTGTTTCCCACAATCACAATGTCAGGAAATATGAAAATGACAAAATGTGAATTTTCTCACTCAATTCACATTCATTAACTTTTTATTAATCCTGCTAGATTACTAGAATAAAAATCTATGTCTAGATAGGCCTAAATGTATTATTTAAGCAACACCAAGGAATACTAGAGTTACATTTGAAACTCATTTGGGATGATTTTAGATACCGATTATAGACTCTTCCATAAAATAGGTGTGTTGGTTTGATAGTAGTATTGCAATCTTGACTAATTGTATGGTTAGAAATTAGGGTTAGGGACAGGGTTAGGATTGACATTAGCCAGCAATGTGTGTATTTAGTTAACTACCATTAACCTAACACCCCTTTTTTAAAGAAGATTCTATTATCGGACACTGGTATAAAAATTTCCCTTAATATTGTTGTAAACAAACTAAAAAATACTCTGAAATATAGAAAATTATATATTGCATCCTACTGAACTAATTTTATTAATTTAAAACAAAATCATGCAGGGTAAAAACAAAACCTTAAAAAAATAAATGTTCGAGACAATTATGCCCATTATGTCTGCCATGTATTTGAATGGGAAGAAATCTAGCAGACAACACATTTCTTCTGGACAGCACTGAACAGTCATAACACTCCTTAAAAACTAACCCACTGTGTCAGTCATATCCTCGTTGCCATTTAAAAACAAATGCGTTTTTTCACAAATCATTTTCTTTACTACAGATTAAGTTTGACAATCAAAATTGGTATCAAATTGAAGGTGAATAAATGTAGTTTATAATTGTTTAAGTAATCTTGAACAATTATGAAGTTTAAAATCTTAAGCGCCACCCTAATGTCATGTTAAAACATGCATTTTGGGTAGGGGGGGTCTTTTGGTGAAGCAGTTTTCCCTGAACGAGAGCACACAACAAAAAAAATAAATTTTATTCACTAAAGGATTAAACTAATGAAGCCTTACAAACTACCAGTTTTTACAGTTGACCTTCACTGTCAGAAGCAAATTTTTTTCCTGCCTTGAATTTTATCATCTGAAGATGATCAAAAGTACTTTGCCCCAAGCAATAATTTTTGCGTTTTGTTAAATAGATTATACTTCTGCATGAATCTATGATAATTTGATAATTTAATAGGGAAAATCTTCTCAATATTTCTAGTAAGGAGTACTCTTGGCATTTTTCAATTAGTTTGTTGATATATACATAATGTCACAAAAATGTCTAGAACTAATGATTTTATTGGTCTAAAGTTGCTGTTTTGGCATGTTTGAATAGATGTCACTGATTTTGGATATTTCTTCTAATCCAAAAACATTTTTTAAACACAACAATTAAAAATCAAATTTAGCTTAAAGTTCACAAATATGCTTGTGTCATTTATGTAGTCACAGTTGTAAAAGTTTGTCTATTATTTAAATACTTACTATTTTGATATATATTTTGATATATTCTAAATTTTTGGTTTGTTTTAATTAGCTTTTTTTTATTGTCTTCAGCAATGTTTTGATTGTAGTCACAGTAATCCAACATGGGCAAGTGTGACGTATGGAGTATTTCTATGTATAGATTGCTCTGCTGTGCACAGATCACTTGGTGTGCACGTTACATTTATACGCTCTACTCAGTTGGACACTAATTGGACATGGCTCCAACTGAGAGCTATGCAAGTTGGAGGAAATGCCAATGCCGTGAGTATATTATCTAAAATTTCCATACCACAAGACAAATTAAAGTTGCTTTTAAAAGTTGTTAATTTTTCCAATTGTTAAAAAAAAAAGCTATGTTTTGCAGTTATTTTTTATGACAGGATTTAGGTATAAGACTAATTTTTTTAGTAAAAGAGTTTCAGCAATGTGTGATTTAATTGTAATTCTTTTTACCTTCAGAGAGCATTTTTCCAGCAACATGGATGTACCACAACAGATGCTCAAAAAAAATACCATAGTAGAGCAGCCACTCTATACAGAGACAAATTGGTGTCTTCAGCTCAGCATGCTATGAGACAGCATGGTACTAAGGTATATGTCTTTTCATCTAAAATTGATTTGCTAGTTTGAAAAAAAAAGAAATTGCTGCTTGAAAATTGGGTTATTTGCAACTTTTTCAGTTCTATTAAAAAATATAATTTCTTAAATTTTTTTTTAGAAAATGTATAAGAAAAACCTGTGTTTATTTGGCAGAATGACTTAAAGATTCAATGTGAACCTTAACTATTTTTATTAATTACAACATTTTTAAATTCATACATCAAACACTGATAAAATTTGTCTTATACAACATTAATCTTTTCACTTATATAAAACGAGCCGGCCCGCGGCATAACATACGCCGCTATTTAGTTGTTTCTAATTTTCAATAATTCATAATTTGTGAATTCGACAGTACCAACGCTGACACTGAAAATATTTCTTTAAAACACTATAAGTAGCTCGTTAAGGACCATAACCCCCCCCCCCCTTCCTTCCCCCCTCCCCCCCCCTACGTTTAAAATCGTTGGCTCTGCTTGTAAACATTTAGAGTGAACACAGCTCACTAAAACCATGTAGGGGTGGGGAGGTAGGGAGAGCGTTTGCAGCTTGTTTTATAACGGCTCGAAGAAGAGAATTATATATATAGATAACAATTATTTTTAAAATTTAGTTACACTTCTGTGTATAAAGGTTTTTTTTTATAAAAGAAAACAAAAAGAATTTCAATACAATAAACAATGATTAAAGCTTTCTCCCAATATATTTTATATAAAATTGCTGTTGTTCCAGCTAATTATTGATGATTCGGACAAAAGTAAAGCAACTAAGGTCAGACTTAGTGGGCAGTTTTAAAGACTATTTGTATTATCTAATAAATTTATTTGTTTGTTAATCCCATGTGGGTAATTTAAAATGGTATACAAAAAAACCTGCCATTTTGGGATATTGTTAAATTGCTTTTTATTTTCATATTTAATGCATTGTTATTAATTTCTATTTATATCAACAAAAAAGATAAGGGCTGTTTTGCTACTTTTATTAATTTGCACATTTATTTAGACATGGAAATCAGGGTTTTTGGTACTAACTTGAGTTAGGGTAAGCAGGGATGTGACTTTTCCGAATTTTAGCGGAAATCCGAATTTTCCGTTTCAGGTGCGTTTTTCCTCCGCTGATTTAATTTTCGCCGAATTTTTCCGCCGACTTTCAATTTTTGTCGATTTTTTACCAAGTTTTAAAAATTAGGGAAAAAAACGGAAATGTCTTCTACGGAAAGGGCCGACATGCTCATTCCACTTATTCGTATTTAAATTTAAATCGACAACTACTGTACTTAGGTCAAACGGACACTCGAATATGCGCATTTCTTTTCGATTGGTTGATTGCGCTAGGTCTGACGGTGCTAGATCAAGATTAAATGTAGATTAAGATTCGGAATTTCGGCGGACTTAATTTTAACCCGCCTAAATCTACAGTTTCTCTCTGATTCTATTTTATTTCGCAATCTCAAATTAATATGGAAATCCTTGCTAAAGTTGACTATGAGGACTAGACTAACCCGCCCCACCTCGTAGCAACGGTGTCTCTTGTGACCTCACCTTGACCCCAAGTACGTTTTCGGTACTGCTGGTGGGGGGAAAAATTACGTCACAGTCAATTTCAAATAGCTGTTCCTGCAATACGTATGCTTCGTAGGCCTACAGATTTAAAAAAATACTAAACTCAACGTGACTAAGACCGTGTCTTGTTTGTGGAAGAAAAAATACGTACAGACTGTTTTTAAATTTTTAATAAAGGGTCTTCCATAAATAACGTCACACTCGTAAGATAGTGTAACGTCATATTTTTGCATTTTAAAAAAATAATGTTAGAAACAACTGCATTTTAGCCGCTATTACGAGTTTTAGAAAACTGTTGTAAAACATAGAAATTGAATAAAATCCCCTATGTTTGTCTACCTTAGTCAATATTTTATAAAAAAAAAATCGATGTTTAAAAAAAAAATTCAAATTCAATTCGAGGAAGGGGGGGGGGGGGGGGGCTGAGGTGTGACGTCATTATAGGGGGGGGGGGGAGTCTGGCTTTTGTAGGACAGAGGGGAGGTAAATATTGTCAAAACAACGTGGATGACCCCTAACAATTTACAGCTATTCCAAAAAACATAAATATCGATGTGGCTTGGCTATCAAAATGATTAACTTTGGTTCACACATCAGACCCTTTCTAATTTTAGCTAACCTGGTCCATTTCATTTTTCCATCACATGAACCTAAAACGTCCATATTATAACTAATCTTAATCTAGGCTCTTTACAGTTGAAGACAAATATATTTACCAATCCAATCTTTAAAAGAATATAGGGCATTAGGCCCCCTATTTAAAAATTGAAAACAGGAGTACATCTAGAATCTACACTAGATTAGTAGGCCTACAGTTTAAATTAGCTTAATGGTAAAATAAAACTTAATAGCTACTTTTGTTACATTGTAATTTTTAAAAAGTTGTATAAGGTAAACATTAAATTGCAATTAGACAAGACTTTCAATGTTATTTTAGAGTAATATAAACTTCTTGTATTTAAAATATTAACTTCATAAAACAATTTATTAGTACAGTAACAGTATGAAGCTGCTTAACTGCGATAAAAAGTAGATAAAGCATATTGAGTTATTATCCGAAAAAAATTTCCTAATTTTTTTTCCTGGTCTGGTCACATCCCTGGGTAAGGGATAAGCTTATTTCTGACTTTTAACCACGATTCCATTTAAACATTTGAATGAATTTTATAGTAAATTAAAAAAAAAATCATTTTATTGCGCTGTCTTAACTGCTTACTCATTTAAAACTTTAGACTATTATAAATTATTTACATCTTCCATTTTAAGAGGCTAAGGTTGTTAACACTGTTTACCCTAATGTGTATTGCATATAAAGGTTTGTAGTTTAGTTTTCAGTTTGTTTTTATTGTATATTATTTTACATTACATAAAACAAGCAATTAACTGAGTTGGCATTTTCTTTGTCAGTTATGATTCATGTCTTTTTAATGTAGTAGTGAGGCAATATTCTTCTGCTGCAGCTGTTACAAATCATGGAAGTTTAAAAAAAACATGAGCTGGACACAAATACAGATTTAAAATTTACAACAATAAATATTCCCAAGAAAATTTGTATTTTATCCCAGAATCTATATTATATTTATTTAAGGATGAAGTTCATGAAACGAGGAGTTGACTTAAATGATTAGCAATGGTCTATGTTCATTGCGATAATTATTGGCATGTAGCTAATGACCTTAAATTACATAAATAGAAAATTTTATACATTCTTTTGCATGTACATTTACTCTTTAATCCTAGGAGGGTAATTGTAATTTGTTGACTTGCATGTTTAAAAAAATTAATTTCAAAGTGATATTTTTGCTAGAAACTGGGTTGCTTTTTTAAACAATTTGGTATTATATTGGTTTTTAAGTAGGTAGTAATACCACAGATTTCAAACCATTGAATGTGTTGCTTGTTTCAACTACTGATGCCATGTCTAATTTGTAACTGTTTTTAATTTTGTGCCAGCTTCACATTGAAAGTCACCATGAAGCTGTGACACCAGAAAAAAAAGAAGTGGATTTTTTTTCTGAACACACTCTTGAAGCTAAAGATGATTTTTCACCATTCCCCATGGAAGACAATGCTAGGTTAGGTGGAGTCTCAACACCCTCACAACCTAAAACAATTGGGAATGGAAAACCAGAAGAGGGTACGATAAGCCTTTCCAAATAGTTTGTGTTAGAAAAAAAAATTCTAATCTCTTGACTTGTTTTTTTTTTTTTTGCAGTGAAGATGTTATTAATTATTGGTTTCTATCTCAAACTATTGCTTATCAATTTTCACAATTTATCAGATCCGACAGCAGGTCCCAATGTAGAAGCAGCACTGAGCACATCACCATCACAAGCTTTGAGTCAAGCAGAGCCCCGCAAAGGTATAATAGGGGCTAAGAAACCTGCTTCCGCCAAAAAGGGTGTAAGTTAAATTTCTAGAATTATTTTAATTAGGTATGTTTAGGTTTCCAATGATGTTTATGATAATTGAAACTTCAGTTATATTAGAGTGTGTTAATTTTTTCTCCATAAAATTGTGGCATTCAAGTTTTTAATGTATATATGTTTAACAGAAGGGTCTTGGGGCTCAACGTGTACAAAAAGACTTTAGTGCCATTGAGAGCAGAGCTCAACAGGTAGATAAGGAAAAAGAAGAATTGGCTAAGAATGTTGCAATAGCAGAAGCAAAAACAAAAGAAGATCAAGAAAAACAAATGTATGTGATTTTTATGTTTTTCATACCTAAATTGTAACAGTAATTTCTACATGTTTAAACCTCTCCTCTTTAAATAATTTTTTTTATTGCCATGTTTTTCAAAACAGGGCCAATATGAGACTGGCATACCAAGATATGAGTCTTCAGCGGAAGAAAGAAGAAGAAAAATTAATGAAAAATGACCCCAAAAAAGCAGAACAATTTGAACGTCTAGGAATGGGTTTTGCTGGAAATAAGTATGTTTATAAGCATTCATTTTTTTGTGTGAAAACGATTGCTTCTGAACTTGGTTTAGTAAATGGGTGTCTCTTCTTAAATACCAAACAGTCCACATAAATTTAATATATTTAATTTTTTTTTTATTTCACAGAGGTATTAGTCATTCAGCTTTGTCAGACATGCAGACCATAAGTCAGGAAGCCCCAAGTGGAGGGAGCAATGCCTCCTCCAGACGAGACTTTGATGCTTATGGAGAAAAGCCTCGAGGGGGCAACCGTAAAGATTTCTTTGATGATGAATTTGAATTTGTTTCCAGCTTATCTTCTAGGTAAAATATAAGCATTTTACAAGTTTTTTTTCTATCATCGGCTCAAGTACGTAATATACTAACAGTTGCAAGATTGAGCCGTGTTTAAAAAAGTTGTTTCCTTATCCACAGTAACTTTTTTATCAGCTAAATTGTTTACTATAAAGCAATGATTATATTCAGTTTTAAAATAATGCTGTAATTTTACTCACAGGCGTGATGACAACAATTCTAAAACTGATGATTATGGTGGTTGGGGCAACAAAAATAAAAGTGGTGGCTGGGACATTGACAAATTTGACGATAAACCTAGCCCTTCAGAGACCATTTCACAGAAAAGCAATGACAGGTAATTGGAGGAAAAAATTTCATCCCATGTTCATTCATTTTTTTATGATTAGGCTGACATTGCTTTTATATTTCAACAACCTTTGGTTTTTATATATAACGACATAAAAATGAGCAGTTGTTGTACTGTGTGCTTTACAAATACTTTGCAATTTTATTTAATTATTTAGACTGCTTTAAATAAAGTTGTAACTAATTGTAACCTAATGCATAATTAGGCTATACAGTACACAGCAACTGGTCTTGATATTCTAAATCTTAATCATCTATTTTATTTTCTCTGAGAAGTCTTTACAAATTATTACCATTTGCTTCAAACAAAAATACTACGTATTTTTTAACCCTTCAAGAATATCTGGGGAGGAGGGAGCTGATGGTAATATAATATGTGGACCTTGGGTAATAGAGAAACAGGTCATTCTGTAGTGTATATGTTAAGTTCTAGTTTACAGTGGAGAAATAAGTAAAATATCTTTGCGTCTAATTTTAAAATGAACTCTGTACTGGGTTATAAATAAAACAGCTGAATTAATGTAAGCTAGTAACAGCAAATTTGTAAATTTTATATAGTTCACGGTCCAACTAAAATATAACAAATAGTTTACAATTAGTGTTAAAGTTCTATTAATTAAACATAAGTTAGCTAACTTTCCTCTTAGCATTTTCATAAGTATTTACTCTTTTGCTCTATTTTGACTAATGTTTACAGCAGCGCATTCTTAAATTTCAATTTTTCTTAAATTCATGATTTAACAGTAGAATGATACATAAAATGAGACAGATTTAGTTCATGTATAAGTGTGTTAATGCTACTGAGATAAACTCTGTTGCATGCAGCATAGCATACGATGAAGACAAAGAAAATGAGGAAGAGAATGAAGATAACTTAAAAGATGAATCTTGGTAAATATTTGTGGGATATCCCTAATATCTCTGGGTTTAGCACTAGGTCTTAAGTAGAGAAAATCTTTTTAAGCTCCACCTTATTTAATTTTTAACTTTTATTGTTCCTATTTTGCAACAAGAAGTTCAATTTTCATCACTGTACTTCATTATAGATATATTACCCTCGTACTTTAAGTTGATTAGAAACAATGGAATTTTAGAATTATTTTACCTTGTACAGCACACCTTTTTCTTTTTAGAAATACCATTTTTTTAACTAAGTTATGGGAAAAACCTTTTTGTTTAAACATTTAAATTGTAATTTATTTTTTAAAGATTGCTATATATTGCTACAATCCAATTTGTTTAGAAATCTTATATTTCCTTGTTAAAGTATATCGTGACTATCTGGCAGAGTTAAATGTATCATTCCACATCCTCCTATATATTTTAAGGAACAATAAAATACCTGTAATAGTCTTAAGCTTTCCCATCCACTTTTTTTTACTGCCTTAATTTTCACTAATGTCTGCTCTTTGAGTTGATATAAATGCTACAGCCAAATCTTGAAATAAGTCAAAATGGAAAATGTCCAGTCAAATCTGAAACTGAACAATGACTCTGTAAATTGACTGATATTTTCTTAATTTTGGGATTTGGCCTTAGTCAGAAGAATACTTTATTTGATTGTTTCTAAATGTTCAAATTCAAGTATATAAAAGCATAAGTTTGTTTAATAGTCATTATAATTATCAGAATTCCAACTGATGTATTAAAGAATAGTCAAAACAGTTGTAATGATGAATAATGTAATCTCTGGAATTACTTATTACTAGATGAACATTTATGACAGTTTGAATTGCATGACAGTTTGTTGTTTCTGCATTTGCAGTTACCCAGATCTAGTAGTACAATACCATAGAGTGTAGCTGATAGTGATTGGGACGACTCTGTGGTTTCTAGTGATCTTACTTCCTTGCCTATGGATTTATGTACCTAACCATAGCCACCATCACACGAAAAGCATGTGATGTGCCACCTGCCGCAGGCTTATACCTGTGCATCGAATCTCAGTCAGGGTTGTCACAGTTCTTTGGGAAATGACTGGCCAGAATTAGCATACACATTGATAATGTTAAGTACATTGGATGTTCAGATAGAGCAGGAAATGTCCAGCTAATTAGGGAACCATTTAAGTTCAGGCTTTGGCTGTAACATATATATGGGTATAGAACTGTAAAATGTATCAATACAGTAATTTTTATTTTACCCTCTTCTGTTATATTTGAAGATTTGAGTCTTTAACTTTTTAAGTCTAATTACTGACCAATTGCAATACTGATCTCACTTCATAATCATATCTATTTTTTAAAAGTTTTTATTTAACTTACTTCCCCTATCTGTCATGCTTTGTCCATCATGGATCAAAACTGCAGAGCAAACTTTTAACCACTTCTAACTGATCGATTTGTTTCAAATTTAGCATGTGGGTCGAGACCAAATGAAAATGCAATCTGGCCCATCAAATATGACTTAATTGGATGCCTAATATATTTTTTTAATTAATTAAAGTTTCCTATTTAAAGCACTCTTTACTGCCCTGTTAGTTGCACATTTTTTGTGTTCATTTAGTTTGCAATTATTTTTAGTCATGCAACTATTGTACTACAAATTTTAAGTACTGGAAAAAAATGCATAGAAAGCTTAAGAACAAGCTTTTTACATAATTGTTCACTAAATTGTAAAAAATTATTTTCTTTAAATATATAAAAATATACTACTATTTAGATACCTAAAGAAAAGCGTGGGTCACTATTATCTATTGAATACCTCTACTAAAATTTAAGAAGTGACTCACGCTTTTCTTTATATTTTTAAAATATTAGTGTATTATTATTAATTTAAAGAAAATAATTTATTTTCCCTTTTTAGTGCATAATTATATAAAATGTTTTTTCTGTATTTTTTTGTGTTTGAAGACATTAGTTGTATTTTTAAAACAAATTTAAGAGTCATTGTAAATTACCATAGATATTTTGTTAGCACAATCAATTAGTGAAACTTTTACATTTTCATTAGGCTACCAGCTAAAAAAATATAAGTTACCATACAAACTAAAGAAATACTCATCAATACAATGTCTGGCAAAGTGTAATATCTTGAAAAAATATTAATGTCTGTTATAAAACTATTGATATTTTTATAAATTTGGTTATAATTCAGCTTAGATTGTTCAGGGGCTAGATATGACTTTTTATTCATATTGTAGAACTTAAATGGGTTCTAATTTTCAAAGAATTCCCTATAGAAAAAGTTTACCCACAAGGAATGTTTAGTTGCTCTCTTTTTCAGTAAATAAATAAATATTCAAAATGCTTTCTTTTAAAATAGTAATAACATTTTCAAGCTGATTAACTGAACTTATATTGTTCCCAATGCTGCATTTGTTAAGAAATTGCCTTTTTTTTCAGTTTATAAAATTTTTTTTTAACCTTTGCATAAATATTGCAAGCTAATCACCCTTAAACTTTGTATTCTACATTTTTATAAATTGGGTTATACCTCACTTAGAAAGTAAGGTTTCATACAGAGAATGCGCATTGGCCCATTGGGATTTTATTTCACATGTTATTTTAAGTTTTCCCACTTTCTTTTAGTGGTTTTAATAAACCTCAACTTGCACTGTAATGTTAATTTTATCCTTGATAATTTTTGTCACTGATTTAGTTATATTATTGTGTCTTGCTTTAAAAATGTGTTGTTACATGTAGCATACTAATTTTGTTTCAGCTTTGTTAATCTATTACTTAATTGTACTATATATAACTTACTAATTCCCTTTATACAAAATTATATAGGTTCAGCAGAAGCAGAAAAAATCAAGAATCAAATTCATCAGCAAGTTTTGATAGTAGTGATACAGCCCAGAAGAAATTTGGCACAGCAAAAGCTATTTCATCTGATCAGTTCTTTGGTAATAGAGATAATGATGTAAGTACTCATAAAAAGATTTTATTAGTTCAGATATAGTCAATTATCAATTGTGACTTTGAAGATATATTCTTTGTTAAAAAAAAAAGAAGCAAAAGAAACTGATAAAATTCCTACAGTTAAAAGTATTAAGATATAAGAGGGTTGCTAAAATGCATTATTACAGAAATGGCAAAATTAGTTTTTGTTTAAATACCTGAATAATAAGAAAGGACTTAAAAAAAATAGTTATTGTGAGTAAAGTATAGTTAAGTGGGATCCTAAATAATGAACAAATAAAGAACACATTTCTCTGTGTTTAGTTCGAAACAAGACAAAACTTAAGTCGGTTGGAAGGCCAGTCATCAATATCAAGTGATGACTTCTTTGGTGGTGGCACAAGCAGCAGTCGAAGACAAACCTATAACAGTTCAGCTCCAGATCTTCAGGATATCAAAGACGGTGTCAAGCAGGGAGTCACAAAAGTAGCAGGCAAGATTTCGAGCCTAGCTAATGGAGTCATGTCTAGTCTACAGGTAGAGTAATATTAATTTTAGTCGTAAACTATAATTATGTTTGTTATAAATGTTTTTATTAATTTCTCTACTTAAGAGAAAGGTATGAGGTAATAACATTATTCAGATTACTTGTATGAATTAATACTAATATTTTATTATTGGTTTGTTTCATGAAAAGAAATGAGATTTATTTGAATGGGTGTTAATTTACCCCTTTGAATAAACCCTCCTCCCCCAAGCTTACCATTTAGGTTCTCAAAGAGTTAAAACAGATTACAATACATTCCGGTTTAGATCAGATGCATGTTACCTTGATGTTAGCATTTAGTCTTTAAATGTTAATTTTTCTTTCTCATCTGAATCTCAACCTTTCTTCACACTTAGAGAATAGTCATAAAATTGTCATTTTATTATTTTACTTTCAAGAAGTACTATTTTAAATTATATTTTAAATTATATATTAAATTATAAAAAAATATTTAAATCTAGAATAGTGGCAATTCTTAAAATATAATGTCAACCATTAACTTAAGAATTTACTCAGCAACTTTTAAAAATTTAAGATTTACATCTATTAATCACGGAAAAAATTACGTTATGCTATAGTATTTTTGCCGATAGTTCTCGGTTCTAAATTTATTTTATATTAAATTTGTCTAAAAATTAATGTGTAAATAACATTTTTTAATAATAATATATGGATATTTGATAATGTGAAAAAGTACCATTTACTAACCCCCTCTCCTAAAAAAAACCCCCTAATTTCTAAAGTTTTTTAATCACACAAAACGAGGTGAAAATTTTAATATGTGCTTAAAATCTTGACCACAAGTTCATGTTCTGTACAATGTTTAACATGACAAAATTATTTATCTTACAGCGTAAATAACCCAACTTAATCCTATTGTACTAGAGTGTTTATTTGTAGTGAAGGTAATACCATTTATTGTGAAGGGTCCCAATTATTTTGTGTATTCTATAATTTCTTTTATTGGTTGCTTTAGTTTTGAAACGCTTGTTTTCTGTTTACCAGTATTGTACAGATAAAAGCCACGGACAGGCTAATATATTTGAGAAGTGTGAACAGATTTTCACTGTTTAAGATCAGATTTAAAATTAGTTGGCTGTATAGCAGCTTTTTTTTTTATTGATTTAATCTATAAGGCAGCCTGCAAGCTAAAAATTAATAAGAAATACTATTTTTGTTTTTAGCTAAACAAGCAAGAGAAGATTAGTTTGAAAAATATGCTTTTTGTTCTTCCTAATTATTTTCTAGTCCAAATTATTTAATTTCATTTTTTAAACACAGTACAAATGGTGCAAAATGATGTAGCAAGTGAAAATTTTCTTACCTTTCTGTTATTAAATTTAGTTCTGCCGTAAAGCAAGAGGTCTTCAAATTTTACCCTAACCAGGGTCTTTATTTCCGTTAAGTAGAATATTACTGACCAGAGTGGCCATTCATATGGGCCCCTGCCTACTATTTCAACCTGGTCCCTGGCTGCCCTCCTGCTTTTTTAAATTTTATAATTTTTTTTGTAATATAATTTCTACTTGTGGTTTATGAATAAAATGGCCCTTTACTTGCATTCTTTTTTTGGGTTAGGAAATCTTATTCTTTAAGACCAACCTTTCTCTTTATTTTAGCTATGGATATTTGATTGGCTTTATCTGGTTACATTGTTGTACTCTTAAGACTTTGTTTTATGAAAATGTCCTATATACAATTTTTAAAACTCTTTAACAGTTTAAAATCATACATGTCTAGAAATTTTATTTTTATACTATTCCACCCTTGCTGGTTTAATAGCTTTCACTGAACCTTAAATCTTTGTTATCAAGAACAGCTGTTAAAAATGTTGGCTGGCTTAGAGTACTTTTAAATTCTCTATACCAGTTGGCTGATCATACTTTTAAAAATGGGTTAGAAAAATGATAGAATATCATCTAACAGATACAGTAGAGTGCTCTATTTTAGCTATTGTTGCAAAGAACTTTGGCTAGCATAGCTGTTATCCCCATGACAGAAGCAGGTGAACTCTGAATTATACTGAAAACCTCTTTTGAAATATAAAGAAAGTAAAATTTTTTTTTCTGAGTTCTATGGATCAACAGTTAATGTTATGTACCTTCTAGGTTATGTCAATTTGTTTTTAGAAATTAGTTTTATTGAATGCATGCTTGTGTCCGTCTTTCAGGAATGGGGTGATGACTTCTGACCAATGTATGTGTGGGTCAGCTTTTCTTGGGTGCTTTCTTGGAGAAAAGCTGACCCAATGACCTACCCAGAGCATGTGTAAGATAGTTGTTTTGTGTGTTGATGTGCATCACATTTGAGTTACTAACAACCTCTTCAAAATGTTAACTTCTCTGTATACCAAAAATATAGAAATTTAGTACTTGATGGTTAAATATCAGATATTATTACTTATCAATTGTAAATGTGTAAAAATGAATTTAAAAAAAAACCCCAGACATTTGGTATACAGAAGGAAAACATATTTCCTGGTATCTACTGCTTGAATTAACTGCATTACTAACATTAGTGTAGATTTTTGTAGCCTGTGTGCTAGTCTAAAAAGAAAAAGTCAAACTGAACAAAACACCACTTTTACTAGGGGCTAAGGCTTTGTTATAATGTATCAAAGACTAGAGTGTATGTGTGCATGGATAGAATAAGAAATAGTTTTAAAAAATTGTGCACGAATTGAAAATACTTGTCACAGACTGTATAATTATGTATCCTTATTATATTGTGTTTTGCATGAATGAAGAGTACCTGGCTAGCGGAAGGACTGTCTGAGCGATCGTCATGTGTTGTTTCATGCTTTTGGGTGAGATCGCTCATGTACGTAAGGGGAGAGAAAGTGGTGAATAAAAGGGAGAGCAAAAAGGTGAACGGGTGTTGTGTGCTAGAACTTGAACCTGAGGACTGTGGCTGTGAATGTAGGATGTTACTACGACACTTTGTTTCTTGACTGTGATTGTACTTATACCAGTTGTGACCATGGATTTACTATGGGTCTATTAATTCTCTGTACAAAGTGTAAATAAAGTTATTGTTTCACAACTACTGTTGCTCGTATGAGTATATTGAAGAACCCACAATAACAACAAAGAATTCATGTTGTTACATATGGTGTCAGAAGTGAGCGTCTACTGTTACATATGATGTCAAAAGTGGTTGAAGAAGTGGTGCTACTGTTACTGATTCTACTGTTACATTGTCAGAAGCAATTGAAGAAGTGATGTTGTTACATTGGTAAATTATATTGAAGTCTGAAATCGTCAACGAAGTTACAGTGTTACTACAAGTGATCAAGAATTGTCACATTATCATTGTAAGCAGTTTTCAACGTTTTTGAAGTGGTCTTCCACTGTTTACCAAGTACGTCAAGTTCTTGAAAGTCATCTATCTACACTCAAGTCAGAAGGGTTGCTGTAGTCAAGTCAGACGTCTTGTTCAAGTCAAGTCATCAACGTGATAATTTTTATCACCTTATTTCGATATTGTCTCACCAATGTCGAGTAAATATCGTCTGTGTGTTTTTTCTGTTTGGATTTAGCCGATCAAGTCTTAGTGTTTCTTTTCTACTGTTTGGATTTAGCTGTTCAAGTTTTTTCTATATGGATTAGCTGTTCAAGTTTTTCTACTGTTTGGATTTAGCAGATCAAGTTTATTTTTGTAACTGTTCCTAAACTGTTCCTAAAGATGTCTTATCTAAAACTGGACAAATTTCTACTCTGTAACAGGCTACTAGAACTATTTTGAATTTTTTCAACTTTTTGGAATCAACAAAGTGAACTATTTTTGTACTATATATGTACTATGAACTTTTCTTGGATTACTAGATGTCTCTAATCAACTGAACAAAGCCAGAATACAAGAAAGGGTATTGTAAATTAATTAACATTTATCTATTGTCAACTAATGAATTTATATTTTATGTCATAGAAAATATATCAAAATGTTATGTTTTGAAGAATATCTAGCACTAGCGAGGGCGCAAGGCATTAAGAAGATGAAGAAGCAGATAGCCTGGGCAAACACTCGATTTGACCGAGACATAGAAAAAGCATTAGAAGCATGGGACGAACAAAATGAACAACCCAAACGAGCTCATGGAAATGTATTGAGAGAACTAGATGATGTGATAGAAATAGTGTGTAATAAATCAAGAGGTATTACAGAAATGCAAGAAGAAAAAAAAATGTCAGATGGAGATAAAGTAGAGGAGACTGTACAACAAAAAGGGAAGAGAAAAAAAAGAAACAGAAAACAGAGAGCAGATAAAAGGGCTGAAACTTTGGAAAAACAAGTTGGCCTACATGAACTAGAATATAAACAAGAACTATTAGAAATGAAAGCTATAACAGACACAAATGAACCAAAATTAGAAAGTGAACAGACAGAATTTAAAGCAGAACTTGAAGAAGTAAATATTGGCAACCTTTGGAATGAAGAACAGAGTAACATAGTCCAGGAAGAATTGAAACCCAAGGATAAAACAGAGGTTGAACTTAATAATGATTTAAAGGTGACAGATACATTAGTATGTCTTAAGATTGACTCTTTTTTGAATGATACGCAGGTACACGAGAATATTATTGAAAGTTGTATCGTAAGTCCATCAGAGAATGGCAGTCAACAAGAAACAAGTCCATCAGAGAATGGCAGTCAACAAGAAACAAGTTCATCAGAGAATGGTAGTCAAAATGATTTAATAAGCCCATCAGTCAATGGCAGTGATGATTTAATAAGTCCATCGGAGAATGGCAGGAATCATGATAAACTAATGATGATTAATGAATCAGTGAACTTAATAAGCCACAATAAAGAGAACGTACCTATTGAGGAGTTACTTAGAAATCTGGAGTCAAACTTTAAAGAAGATATCCTAGAACTCAAGAATAAATTTAACAAAGAAATGGAGAAATTAACACAGAAATTTATGTGTGAATTAGAATCAATAAAGAAGCACAAGGAAGTTAAGAAAGATGAAACAGTAACTAGAAACTACAATGTCATTAATGCACAGAATGAAAGTAAAAGAAATTTAGCAAATTATGAATACAGTCAACATGTTAATAAGAATGTCATTAATGTCATTAATGCACAGAATGAAAGAAAAAGAAATTTAGCAAACTATGAATACAGTCACCATGTTTATAAGAAGCCAAAATCTAGATGTTTTTACTGCGGAAAAACAGGTCATTACCAAAATCAATGTTGGCATAGGTTGGCAAATCAGAGAAGAAACAATTATGTACACAGAAAGTCATGTGAGAAATACAGTAATTTAAGAAATGTATCAACTTCAAATCAGAATAACAAAAGTGTGAATAGGTATACTAATGGAAGTTACCGACGCAACACATATTATGAGAGGCCAAAGCAATGCCATAATATTTATATTGAGTTGGTTGATGAACCAAACCAACATACACAAAGCAAGATAACCACTGACGTTGTTCAGAAACCAGAGGAGAATATTAAAACAAATGAAGTAACACAAGTTACACGAAATCTAGGAAATGATTATGGTAGCACAGCTAAAAGCTACAATTTGAGGGAGAGATGGCATACAGGTCATCGTCAACTGCACGAGAACGATTACTCATGCTATAGAGGGTGCTAAGATTAAATTATCAATTTACAGTTTATTAATATTATACAGTCTGTAACTGTAATATATAAATATCAAACAATTTGTATCAGTAATATAAATTGTGTACTATTTCAAAAGATTGTAAACTGTATTATGTTAAACCTATTCTATACTATTAATTAACAGTGAATAAAGTAAATCAAGTAAAAGTTAGAGACTATTATTCCGCATAACAATAAGACGGAAGTCTCAATGATGAATTGTGTGTTAGCCATACCTGTGAAAGGCAATGTTGTTGTGTTGTGACCTAGATTTGTCTGAAATGGGTCAACTAGGGGAGACAACAAAGTATATTAATCATGCGTCGTAATAACATGCCTTGATGCTAAGGAAGTTTTTTACTACATAGGATATAATTATTTAATTCATGAGTTGAATTAAGTCTTTGATAATTTCAACTATGTATTATAGTTTGGTAATTCACTAAACTCATTTGTCTTGTTTATACAATTACTTGGTAATTGAAATGTTTTTCTTTCTCATATTTGAATACATTACACATAATGCTTGTGCATTAGTCTACAAAGAATGTATTTTTCCATGTTTTTTGAGATGTATAAAAATTTTGTTGTCTGGCACATGATCCTGCCCTACCAATATTGTATTTATAAATTTTGTTACACAAAATTTTAATTGAAGGGGGGACGTGTCACAGACTGTATAATTATGTATCCTTATTATATTGTGTTTTGCATGAATGAAGAGTACCTGGCTAGCGGAAGGACTGTCTGAGCGATCGTCATGTGTTGTTTCATGCTTTTGGGTGAGATCGCTCATGTACGTAAGGGGAGAGAAAGTGGTGAATAAAAGGGAGAGCAAAAAGGTGAACGGGTGTTGTGTGCTAGAACTTGAACCTGAGGACTGTGGCTGTGAATGTAGGATGTTACTACGACACTTTGTTTCTTGACTGTGATTGTACTTATACCAGTTGTGACCATGGATTTACTATGGGTCTATTAATTCTCTGTACAAAGTGTAAATAAAGTTATTGTTTCACAACTACTGTTGCTCGTATGAGTATATTGAAGAACCCACAATAACAACAAAGAATTCATGTTGTTACAATACTGAAGAAATTGTATTTAAAAAAATAGCCTCTAAACACTATAGTGTTGCTTATTCAGTTGTCTGGCATATGTCAAAAGCATATGTCTCTGATAAAAAACTTCAACCTGATGGGTAATGAAATTGATAGAGGAGTTCAATGTATTTTTAGGAAAATAGTGCCTACTTTTTAATGGTACAGAATGAGAGATTTATAGTTGGCTAGTATTCTTTCTTTTATTTCACTTTTGTTTAAAAGTTTTATTTAGTCATCCTATTCATGTTTTTATGTTATATCTGGATAAATTGAGAATTTGTTGCCTTAATTAAGAATATGTTATGGCACAAGATATGAGATATTTTATTTGCTTTTATGCTAACATTATTTTTTTTTTCTTTGCCACATCTTGCTTAATATCAAATCTAGTCACTGCATTGAATAAATTTCAAACCCTCTAATTTGTCTTGTATCTTGGTTGCATGACTATTATACAGCAGTGTGTGTTTTAAAAAAAAATTGCATTTTAATACGTTGTTCAGTAATATTAGACAATTGAAACAGCGCATACTTTTATCTGTTTGAAATATTGATTAGTCAAATGCAGGAATACATTTCTTTTTTATCATTTGATACTTCTTAAAAACCTGAATATAAAGTACACAATTGCATTTTAAAATTATTTGTGTTTAGTTTTAATATAACTTTAAGTAAATTTTTTCAGTTAAAAATTTTTTGTTCTGAATGTTTCATGGTTCTTATTTTGTTTTAACAACAGGATCGCTATGGTTGATGTAAAGACTTTACTATCTTTGATCTGCCACAGCTGACTGAATGCCATTACTATCATCTTTGGGAGACTTTACTCATGGGTATGGATATACTGCAAGCCAACAAATGTATTTTATCTGTTTTGAGTAAAGAAAAGAAAACTGCATTTCAGCAATTTTTTTCATTCATTTTGATGTTATGTTAGAATAGCTACAAAAAATATGGTCAACTGAAAAGACATTTAGTGGATAAATAAGGATTTCTCACTTTGATAAAAGAGCATTAAAAAAGTTGTTTGATGTAGACAGTCTAATAAAAATTAAAGTTTTTTTTGAGATGGGGGAGAGGAAGGCTACATAGTCCAGCTATCTATACTGACATAATTTCTTATGTTGTTTATGTGATATATTGATATTGTTATGTATAAGTACTAAAATATGTTTGCATCTTTACATAGGATGTATCTTTTAAAAGAAGTTAGATAATACATTTTAGGCAAGCCAAATGCTAAGAGTGTGATCTATTGGAGTGTTAGAAATTTTATTTAAATATCAGCTTTACAACCTATTTCTGGCTTGAAAATATAGATGTTAATCACAAGATTTTCTCCTAAATTGAATCAATTTGTGTACAATTTAAAAATCTCATTTTGATTATTTTCAACATTTTTCTGCATGCTCATTTAACTAGGCCCCTATCTATAAATATTTTTGTAAAACCCCCAAAAAACCATTAAGTTGAGTAGATCATCAGTTTTTGATATATGGCCTTATCTTCATTCATCATACACATTTAATACTGAATTCTTTTCTTGTGTTAAGTAAGGCTACAGCATTGGTTAAATTTTAACTGCAGATTTTAAAGACTAGTTTCTTTTTTATATGTAAGCTGCAAATCTAAAAAGCTAATTTATTTTGAATGAAAAATGTTAATTTTTTTTAGCTTTGTTTTTACATTAATCATAGTTTCATCATCGAGTATCAAAATGACCCATTTATTCACCACTGGCATTCATCACTTTGTTAGATGATTAATGACCTGTAAACTATTTAACTTCATTTTCTTTTACTTAAAGCAAACTGGGATTATTATATATAGACTTTAAATTAAATTTATGCAAAAATTAATCTTTTCATAAAGCATCCACATATAATTGAGACAAACACTTAGAAGCCACATAAAACTAACCACTAAACAAAAATATATACTGAAATGTTGAAATGTGGGGCATGTGTTAGTTTTCTTTCATAAAAGAGGGACACCACACACACATGTGGATTTTTACCGCATCTGTTAAAACATAAACCCTGTTTTAATAATCTTCTTTGGTCGATCTTTGAGATCTTTTCTTTCTACAACCCATTAAGAAAAAAGATCCATGCCACTAAAACCCTCCACAAATGACAATTGACATGATACGTATTCATGCTAATAACAAAGTGTACAGCCTACATCCAAATAGGTACAAATAACCACCTTAAGAATAAAGTGTCGTAAAATCGGCTTTCAGAATTATTTTTCAATACAACTGGAGCAAATAACTTAAGTTTCCAATTTTTAAATTGTACCTGTTTGCTAATTACAAATTTAATGTGTTAGATTTTGGGTTTTAAAATTACAATGTATGTAGTGAAGAATATTTCTTGGTGTAAATACTTAAAACTGTAAAGATTTTAATTTTAACTTTGGTCAGATCATAATTATCTTGGCAGTGACATGTTAGGCATTTGTAAATCTTAAATAGTTTCACCCTGATGATGAATTCCATTTAGTTTAGGTAGGTTATTTCATAATGTTATTATTGATGCTTTTTTTTTTTCATGGAGGGGTGTTTTCATTCAATAAAATGTATATTTATGCTCAATTTTTGTCTTGTGTTCACATTTATGTGTATTTATTATTTGCAAACAGTCATCTCCTAAAACAGTTTTTTTGCACAAAAATAACTCAAAGTGATGTTAAGTTTGTTTATTCCCAACACAGTTGATTACAATGCCAACTCCCGTTAACACATCAGTCATATTAGTTCTGGGCAGCTATTATAAAATACACTCAGTGTTCCAAATACTCTCATAAAAACAAGTATTAACAAAATTGGGTATTTTTTTGTTTTATTGTTAGCTTCTATATTTTTTTTTTAACTTTTCAAATACCATATTTTTGCAACTGAGAATACATAATTAGACATAGGTGTGTGATGGTGCAATGCTTACAAAAAAGGTTTATTGTCACTTGGCACATTCATGTACAATCTACTTAGCTTGCATGTCAAGGAAGCTTAATGAGAAAGATGATTGGAATAGATTAAGTCACCTTAAAAGAAATTTAGGCCTGATAGTAGTTTTTATTTCTAACTCATATAGCAGTTAAAAAAAATTACCATTTGCAATTGCACCATGCTCTTCACAGTAAAAGAAAATTTAAATAAATATTCGCTCTCATCTCTTTAGTACTCGAAAAACAAATCTCTGCTAGTACAAGGGCTAAATAGTTTTAATGTAGTTCTTAGTTATTTCTCAAATGCAGTAAATTTTAACATGAATATTTTGAAAACAAAAAAATTTCATGAAACTAGTAGCTTTAATTTGCTACTGCTAACACATTTGCATAATGGAACTCAACTAATGACTCAAGTCATTTAAATGTTAGCAAAATTTTTGGAAAATAGTGTACATTAAAATAAAAATAAATTTTAACCATCTGTACAATAGTAAACAAAAATATTTTTTTTACAGTTGTGTGAAACAAAAAAGACAATATTACACAAATAAAGGAAATAAAGTTAAAAGTTTTTATAGTTACTACAAAGTTAAAAGTTGTTATAGTTACTACTTAATACTTAAAAACAAAATGCTTAACTATTTAAATTTACCCCTGGGAAATTATTGTTCCAAATAAACCGTATAATTACCACATTTGCTTTTTTATTAAAAAAATTAATTAAAAATAATTTTAGAAATATTTCTAAGATATATTTTTAAAAAAAGACAGCAATAGCATATTAACACTAATATTTTTTTTAGTTTCATTAAATTAATCTATAACAAAATAATCACTCATTAAAAAGAAAATATATCAAATAATCATAATGTATTGAAGTTTTTATAGATAAATTTGCAAATTTGATAAAGACAACCCAAGCTAATTTCAAATATATATTAAAATCAGATACATTTTTGAATAAATACTTAAAACAAATTCATAATTTGGGTTTTTACAATATTCAATTTATTCTCATAGATTTTTATTTGTACACAATATTTAAACATTTATTGTTTAGTTAAGAAGCCATTATAAACAAAGTTGGAAGTAAAAAGCCATTATTTAAAATATGCATAATTTCACTTCTCATTTTACATAAGAATAGTACAACTGAAATGTATCATCTAAGTTTTAGAAAAACTTAATGAAGCACACATTTTACAAGAGTAATTCATTAATTCACAAGGGGAATGTTTGTTAAAATCCATTATGAACTCCTCAATCTACTTGTCAAATAAGCTTCCTTTAGAACCCTAATTAAAACTTTGTATTAAGGGGTCATCCATAAATGACGTCACACTCGTAGGGGGGAGGGGGTCCGTAATTTTGTGATGATGTGTGATGAGGGGGAGGGGGGGGGGGGATCAGATGTTGCGACGTCACATTTTTGCATTATAAAAAGCAATGTTAGAAAACAAAATTTAGACGTTATTTCGCGTTTTAGATAACTGTTTTAATAAATTGTAATAGTTTAGACAAGATTTTGGAAAAATATTGATGTTTTAAAAAAATTCAACTGCAATTTTGAGGGGGGTTGTAGGTTGAGGTGTGACGTCATTTTAGGGGGGGGGTCTGGCTTTTAGTGACGACGTGTGATGGAAGGGAGGGGGGGGGGGGGAGGTAAAAAATCGTCAAAAAAAGAGTGACGTCATTTATGGATGACCCCTAAGATAAAATAATAAGGTGTTATTATGCAACTGTTTTATTTTATAAACAAAGGAAAAATAGAATTTTTCAAATGGAACGATACAACAATTTGTACTCACATGGTGCAATCATTTTAAGCAACCAACATGCAAGCTACAATTCTACAAGACAACTGCAAGGTAATCTTAACATTCAGTTACAATTGTCAATGCATGAATCAAAATTACCAGGGGTCTGTTATGTACAAAGAATATATTTGAAATGCATGTCTTGTTTTTTGTTGTGTTATAGAGGAAGTACATGCAGATATGCTGATTTCTAAATATAATTGACTAGCCATCATGTAAGTTTTAAAAGTTGTCCCTATATAAGATATAATCTAAATTCAAGCATTTTTTTGGTCTACATTTTAAAAATGCTTTTTTTAAAAATATTCATTTTGAATTATCAGCAAGTTACAATTTTCTTAAAAAAAAAAAAAGTAAAACAAATTTTTAAAGATGCTAAAATAAAAACAAGTGACAACAGAAAAACTTTACATTTTTGGTGACACAAGTACAATTTTATGTTAACTTTTGAAATTGTTAACTGGGAATTTTAAAACAAACCAGTTAGTTTCATCAGTAGCATTTTATTGAGTTAAAAATATTTCAGAGACTATAAAGATTGTAAATGTTTAACGTACAGACTAAAATTCAAATTAAAATCTACCAAGGCTGCAGTATTGTATGAGTGGTGTAACAGGTGTTAAAAAGCATGAATACTTACTAATAAAAACAACTTCTAATATAAGGATAAGAGTGGATTTTTATTTTTTGCTTGCTGTTAATGAATCCTAAAATGATGCAGTGATACATTAGAAGAATCTTTCGGTTGAAGTATATCTTATTGCAATCCAAATATGTCTTAAAAAAACACAAAACAAGAAAAATAATACAATTAATTTTTGTGCATGAAGTATTGCTTTTTTATTTCTTTTCTCAATGAATTATGAGAATTAATTTTTTTTACATAGGACAGTCAAGGTTATCTTGTTACACTAGACATTGAATGGTGGGACTGAGTTTTAGTAACTATTTGACCCCACCTAAGCAGATATGATGGGCTGCATACGATGAAATTAAAAATGAATACATGGTTGATCCCAGAGCTATATGTTATATAAAAAAATATTACACTAAGTATGGCTGTAAACATTTTACTATATAAAAAACACCAACTCACTATACTTTATATAGTCCTCTGTACAGTGGTTCTTTTTATAAGCACATCCAACAGTTACTTATATGATACTAACACACACTGCCCTCTGTTTACTTAGAAGCCTTAGCAATAACGAAAGCGTTACTTGTATTTTGTTTTGCTAAAATATTGCCACAAGGCATACACGGTCAAACAAAGACAAGTAGTAACAAAGTCTCTCAAACTGTACAGTTGGGTAAGTTTCAATGAATCTACCTATAAATATATCAACCGATAAATGAAGGAACAAACAAAACACTGAGGTTATTGAAAAATCCATCGAGTTATAAAACAGTATCACAGGTGATTTAAATGACCGCTGAAGCCTGTGAAAGCTTTCAGTAAATTTTTTTTTTCCATTTTTATAAAAAAAATTTATTAGGACAAAAATAAAATTAAAAACACATTTTATACAACAAAAACCCATAGAGAACATCTATTGTACAATTTATATTTCAACATAAGTGACAAAGTAAAATAAGATTGATTCTCCATAATAATGTTTCTTATTTTTAATTTACAATAAAAATAACAGGTAGCCAAAAGCTGTGGAACATAATCTATTTACAAATAGTAAATGACAATGTATTTTACTGCAGTAAAAAGAAATTTCAAATATAACCAGATAAAGCTGAAAGAAGTTTGTCAGACTTTTTAGAAACTCAGGCCAAAGTAGAAATGCTATTAACTTTAACTAAAACTGACAAAAATTTAAAATAACTTTTTGGGTTATAAATTTATTATTAATGAAATATCCATTATGTCAAGCTTGCTCCATTATTTCTAATAGTTTTTCTTTTAGAATGAATCTATTCTCAATGACAAAAAAATACCCCAACAAAAACAAACAACAATCAACAGAAACTGTTGCTCAACCTGGGGAAAACTGCTAGCTTATGTCATCTGCCACATCTCTAAGTATTATATTGTGGCAAGTATAAAAAGTAAAGAATGCAACTTTACTTAGTAGTTTAAAATTTGGTATACAGTTTAACTAGCGTAAAAGTGATATGTTTTAGAACTGTAAAGAGCTTAACTGAAAATCATTATTGAAAATTAAAAAAAAAGTCATGATAGTAATGAAAACATAACAACTTTGCTTTATATTTCAAAAACTTAATAAATTCAAATTTGTTCAAAAGAAAACTTACTAAAGTAAAAAGTCTATACATATTTGCATTTTATCTAAAAAAAATAAGACCTGAAAATAATTTGTGATATAAATTACCAAATGGGATAATGCTATTGTTCACATTACAGCATTCTATTTAAAAATAGCTCTAGTCAGAAAAGAATATTTAATCTTTTTAAAAAAAATTACAAATTTGCTCTGAATACCTTGTTTTCTTACTATATCTAAAACACAAAAGAAATGTAAAATGCTGAATACCTTAACCGATTTCAATTTGTTTCTTTATTTCTATCACAAGTCACAATACGGTGCTGTACTATATTTTATGGATGAAACATGTATGCTATGTATGGTTTAACACTTTCAAACTCTACTGTGCAAGCTGTAAAAGCATATTTTTAAAAATAGTGTAATAATGATTTTTTCTTCCAAAGTTATTTTTAATGTTGCTGTAATTAGTTAATGTATTTTAAAAACGCATGGCAACAGAATTTTTTTTTTAAAAGGGCAATTTTGCGTTAAAAATACTTTGATCTAGATATAACCATGAAATGAATTAACAGTGCCGTGGACACTTTAAAACAGAGCTAAAAAAACCACTAAAATTAATTAAACATTGGCAGTGGCCTCACAAGGTCGTGTGTCATCCGGAATCTGAGTGTCACCCCCCCCCCCCCCCAACAATTTCGCATTTTCGGTTTGGTTTCATCCCTCTCACCCTACTATTTTGTTTTTTATTTTAACTGGACAAAAAATTGTTTTGACTGTAAATTGTACGATTTTTCATCTTGGTGATGCAAAAACTTTGGCTTTTTTAACGGTTTTATCAAAACTATTGAGATATTATGGTTTCCTACATTCAATCTGAAAGTCGAAGCACTCTATACATTTAGTCTTGTTATTTGCAAAGTAATATTTGTTCCCATTATAAATAAAACAACCTGCATTTGCTGGCATATTTTGTCGCTAAATAAAACATTTTATGTTTTAAAAAAAAAGGATTCAAACGTGGTTGAAAAAATTTAAAACTTCAAATACTATTTAGTTTTTTCCTGCGAGCACTTGCCACCATATTAAAAGACAAGTGAGATACTTAAAAAAAAACAACAACATTGAGCTTTTTGGACCATCCCACTGCTTAGTATGACACTTAACGTCACAGAGAAAATAGCGTGACGAAAAAAATTTGGTAATCCCTTAGTTTAGCGTCGGTTATTATTCCGGAATCGTATAGCAGTAAAAAACAGTGAAACAATAACAAAGTCTGTCACACACTTCCGGAATTCACCGGAAGTACCGTAAACCATACTTTATTTGGCGTCTTCTTTTATTTTTAAACAGAATGTTTAAAATTTGGATAGATTTATTTTTGTAATCATTTTTACATTTTGTAATCATTTTTACTATTTTCGTAATCTAGATTTTTTTACTTGGCCTAGCAGCTAGATATCTAGCTAGATCTAGATTTAATTAATTAATGGTCGCAAATCCGCTGCAAGCCAAAAACATTAAATTATTACATTTGATACATTATTTATATTTATATATGTTTTTATTTTTAGATCTACTAATTTAAATCTACTATTATATTTATTCTTGTTTCCTTTTGTCGATTAAACTTAAAAAATTAAAACATTAATTTACTACAATCGACTTTCAATTTATTTATATTTCAATGGTCAAATAAACCATGGTTTACCGTAACTCTAATTACCGAAACTCAACAAACATTACCCGATAATTTCCGACGCTAAACTAAGGGATTACCAAAAATTTCACTAAACACCGGTGACTTTATTTAGATCATTTTAAAGACATTATCGTAATACGAATTAATGTTAGCTTCGACTATTTTTGCCCATCAATGTCAAGCGTTTTATCATAGATACAATTATAACATCTCTTTTACATGCACAAACCCAGTGTCTCATAAAAGCTGGGGGGCAATACATAACACAGTGGACAGTCTTAATACAACTATACATAAATATTAATAAGAACTAAATTGATGTATATAATACATGTAACTATGGATTACAATGATTTTTTTTTTCAACAAGGTGTAGGTCAATGTGAACACTGCTAATGTCTGCACAACAAAGTAGGTTATCAACAGAGTTTGAACCGAATCTCTACTATTTCAAGCGAACAACTTTTTCAATCTTTCAACAAATGCCACTGCGCCACTTGTTGTCGTGGCTTAGCAACCATGTCATTCCAATGCCGAGTTTCCATTGGTCCGCTGCGGCAACCCAGCACGACTCGTCCAATCAGTTCGTTTCGGCCTACTTTGTCGAAATCCATACAGCTGACTTCCAAATTAGCTTCGCGGATTTTCTCCCACGGAATATCGAAAATGAAGGACTCGTTGTAGATGGGGTTCAAAGTTTTCATCTTGATGTTGGTTTTCTTCTTCTCGACCCGTTGCCCACCGTACGAGAGCCAGATTTTCACATATGGATCTGTCAGGGAAAAAAAAATAATACAGGGAATATGTTAAGAATAAATTTGAAAATTTCAGCACAGGCAGTGTTACTTTTATGCATGTTCCGAGGGAGGTGAAGGGGGGAGAAGGAGAACAAAATGCCCCCTCCCCCCTCCATCCAATCGCTGCTTCAAATAGAAAAAAACATTACATTTAAATAGAAAATGCATTAACTACTGCCCCCTCTCTACCCCAAAAGTTCCAAACGAACATCCTGGAACATATTTTCTGGAAGAAACCATGAGCTCATGTATGTTTTTCAATTTATGCAGTGGTCTCTTATAATTTACATAAAATCGTGTGTAATAATAAACCTATTCTTTGTTCCCAATGCCCATGTTATGCTCTTACTTAGATCTAGATTTAGACGTGTCGTGAATATTGGCGTTTATGGGATTTCTGTGTGCATGCGTCTTCTGAGAAAAGGCGTTTTTGTGATGTGCGGGCCATCTCCATGGGGAGTATTGAACAAAGTAGTCTGGCTCCTATTGAACTTTTCTCAGTGGAGAAAAGCAAAGTTCTCTTTCGAATCTAACGGGATGGTCTATGGGGCAAGGGAAGTAGACTTTACATGTTGCTGTGACGTCCCCTTACGAAGGTGTAGTGTTGCCAGCACTATGCCCAGCCGTCTTTACTTTTCCTAATGTGAGTCAGGTACCCATTAGAGCTGGATAGACTCAGTGACGTTTTACGGACTTGAACCTGAATTTGAAACTTTTGGGTTAGCAGTCTACCATTCGACCAGGCCGTCCCATTTGCTGATAGGCGTTGACAGGAAGTAGTCACGGTGTTCTACCCCCCCCCCCCACCCCAGCGCCCCCACTGCATACGCCAATGTGTTGGCATTACCAGGTTATGACCAGCAGCCAGGGTATACCATTAATTAGGATATAAATATCTGTCTGCCCGTTATACTAAAATACACTTGCTTAGTTTGGACTACGATTCTGACTATTATAATTGTTAAAGAAAAAAACAACACAACTAGTATAGGTGTTTACCAGGATGGGAAGTAAAGTTTGAAAAGGGAGGTGACTGTTCAGGGTGGGGGTGGGGGTGGTGGTGGATGATGAGGAGAGTTTCGGAGGGGTTGGTGTAAAGCTACGTATAACAAATGAAAATATATTTTTTTTTGTTTATTCTTGAGCATTAATATTGGTGTTCAGACTAATGTTATATATATATATATATATATATATATATATATATATATATATATATATATATATATATATATATATATATATATATATATATATGCGCGAATAAGCTTAATTCTATATTCTATCTTGCGTATGAAGTGAGCAATAGATACATACATACACACACACACACACACACACACACACACACACACACACACACACACATATATATATATATATATATATATATATATATATATATATATATATATACACACATTTATATATAATATATCTTATATAGAATCCCTAACAGACATCTTTGGCCGTTATTCATTATCCACAGAGAAGCCTTCCGTGTTTACATGTATATAGAACAAACACGTTCACTCCGCACCACACCATATCCATGACAGCATGAGACCAATATTTTTTCAGGTTTGTAGACTACACTAACATTACAGGCAGAGACCGTCCCTGTCTCTTGATCCCCCTCCCCACAGGCTATTGGTGTGTGTTGAGGTGTTGGGGTGCGACGCGACTGTTTAAAAATATGTCTTGGAGCTAGGGCCACGGAGTCTTGTGTTGTGATTGATGACTCTGTTGAGTGCCACAGGAGACACGGTCTAGATTGGCTACACATAAAGAGAAGTTCAGATTGGATGAACCTAAAAAATCTAGATTGTTAGATATTTTTCTTTCTTCCCTAGCAGTGAGGTTTCACAGTTGGCTTATTTTTATTTGGTACCTTGTTGGTCCATGGGCTCTTTAATTTGTATGTTAAATTGATAGATAACGAAAATCGTCTTCTAAAACTGAACTCGAATACCATATACCATAGGGGAATGTGTGTGTGTGTGGGGGGGGGGGGGAGTTCTGATTTTATCACGACATTGCTACGTTGGCTTGAGGTATGTGACGTAACACACGCACGCACGCATGAACATACACATACACGCACACATATATGGAAATACATAAGCCCCTCTATCTATATGTCTGAAAATGGAACTGCTCTCTAGATAAGTAAAAAAAAATGAGAAAGGGGAGGGAAACACTTTTAGGCGTCTTTTTAGGAGGAAAGAGTTGCGTTTTGGGAGGTAGGAAAACGATTGGGAGGAGGGACAGGAAAGATTGAAGGGGGGGGGGAAGAGGGGAAGAGGGGAAGGGGTTAAAATCACCATTTATATTTTAATTCTTTTTTTTTGAAGCAGTGTAAACAGAAATAGATATATTCTTAACACTTAGTAATAAAATATGTATTATCTAGTCTTAAACAACACAAGAAATACTCTCATTTTCCCACAATGTGAAATGTGGTTTATAGCCTATTATTTAAAAAAAAAATCTTTAACATAGATCCAGATACTAAAAAAATAATTCTGAACTAAGAAACGAAGTCTAGCCAGAAAACAATTTGAATATTTCAGCCAGAATTGATTTATTCTTTACTTCCATGTGGTCTGAGCGATGTAAAAATGCCAACCGGGACCCCGATTAGATACTAGACTGAAACTTTTGTATAATGTATGCATGCAGAGTTGAAAAGTAAAATTAAATGAATAAAAATAACTAAAAAATATGCAGATATTCAACAAGCATTTTCACACCATTCACCATAATAAAAAAAAAATCAAGTAAAATTTTTTTTTTTTTTAAAAAAAAGCTAGTTTTTAATTTAAGAAAAAAAAATAACGTATTCGAAATGCATTTATTAAAAATGAACATATTTGTTCATGTTTGAAAGTATTATATATAAAAATATAAGTATGCTACATTATTACGACCCTTTAACCATTTAGATTATAATGTATAAAACGAAATGCTAAAAGAAAAAAAAACAAAAAAACAAAACAAATGCAAATGCAAATGGATAATTTTCGGAAACGAGGCGAGGTTTAACTGTATACCACGTGCGTGCTAGAACCTACCGCAAGCGTCTAGCCGAAAGTAACCTGGAGATAAATGACACAATAATAGAACCTTTGCTTTTTCAAACATGTTTTCATCTTACAATGCGGTAGGCCTACTTGTGGTGTAAGTCTAAGGCATTATATTCAGGAACAAGTTTGAGAAAAGCACTGCAGTTCAATATAGCTAGCACAACTTGTAGGCTTTATGCAGGTTTAATGGCTCATGTTTTTTTTTCTCTAGCTTAAAGTGGCTGAAATAAATAGTTCATTACAATTTTCATTATACTGGCCGATCAAGATTGTGGTTTTAATAAACAAAAGGTTACATATCAATCAAAGGCCTTAGAAGTTTCATTTTATTTCGGAACAGACAGCTGAAAAACTGTCTTAGATACAATTATGAGTAACCACAGATAACCTGTTTAGACAACTGACTTAAATTTGTCCAGTTTTGATAACTGATCAAAATCTCCATTACGACAAATGATCAAAAAATGTCCAGCTTTGACAACAGACAATAGCCATGTCCATTTTGACAACAGACAAAAAAACCCAACTTTGTTGGCAGCCGGTGACTTACCAGACGATCCCGTTATGTCCTTGGCCTTGAGATCCTTGGCTTTCATGACCGTCACAGTAAGTCGCCCGATGTTGGGTTGGTAGCAGAGAGACAGTAGCAGTTCGCCTAGTTTACCCTGAGATAAAAGACGAAAAGATAATTAAAAGATGTTGGGTTGGTAGCAGAGAGACAGTAGCAGTTCGCCTAGTTTACCCTGAGATAAAAGACGAAAAGATAATTAAAAGATGTTGGGTTGGTAGCAGAGAGACAGTAGCAGTTCGCCTAGTTTACCCTGAAATAAAAGACGAAAAGATAATTAAAAGATGTTGGGTTGGTAGCAGAGAGACAGTAGCAGTTCGCCTAGTTTACCCTGAAATAAAAGACGAAAAGATAATTAAAAGATGTTGGGTTGGTAGCAGAGAGACAGTAGCAGTTCGCCTAGTTTACCCTGAAATAAAAGACGGAAAATAATGTCATTAAAAGTTAATTAAGCGCCACAGTTTCTATAATCTTAAACAGCATCGGGGTGGTGCATATAATTGATGCTTAGTATCCATCCATCCATCCATCCGTCCATATATATATATATATATATATATATATATATATATATAAACAATAAATTAAGGAATAGCTGAGGAATACGGATAGTAAAATTGATACATTTATTTTATACAGCTGTCTTATGAAACAGTCAAAAATTTCTATAAACCAGAACTGGACCCTTATTAATAAAGCCACTTTAAATGAAGCCATCTGATCCCTATGCTTTTTCGTCATTGACTCAAAGACTAACAGCCAATCAGAAAATGGATTTAAAAAAAAAACAACTTCAAAACAGCACAACTTTATAAGGCCACAAACCAATTTTCAGCCATTTCCTCTACCATTTTTTTCCACCACCAAACCAACACGGCCCATTTTCAACTCCACTGCAACGTGACTGAGTCGACACTCCACACAAAGGAAGAAGATGCCGAGGTTAAAAAAAAAAAACATCTTCAAAGCAGCCCAGACTTAAATACAAAAACGTTAATCTAGGTAAGTAGTGGGCTTTTCTCGAGGCACCAGTATTGTTGTCCGTACAAAATATAACTCTTACTGGGAAATGACATTTAAAATTCTCGGTTATGCCCCCTTATTTATCTCTCTCGACGTGACGAAAACAAACTCCACTGAAATATTACGTGAGTGATTTTTAGCGCAATTTCCATTCTGGAGAATTGCGTTTATTAACCCGTCATTTCTGGATGTATGAATGAATGGATGGATGGATGGATGGATGGATGGATGTGTGTCCGCAGCTTTAAGTCGTATCTCCTCCTCAACGAAGCAATATCGATGACTAGTTCCAAAAGCAATTATGTTAAGCAAGTTACGAGGATGAACATAGGCCATAAAAATTCCGGGTTTCTTTCATGGATTTCCCGGAAAAGCCAAAAAACCTCGAAAAAAAGCAGTTTTTGGCCCATATCTCGACAACCAGACAACTTAGCGACTTGAAACATGTACCAATCGATTCCTGCCATAATTTAGAACAATTTTGCCGAAGAAAGTTTTCAAAAATATCCTTTCGTTTGGTCACAATTTTTTTTTTGAATTAATTAAAATTTGGACCGAATTAGTAGGCATTTTATGCAACCACACCACACGCGTCATCACGTTCAATAGCTGCGCCATCACGTTCAATGGCTGCGACGTCACGTTCGGTAGCTGGGCGCGCAATGGTTTTTAGTCATGTTACTCTATTGCAAATAAAACATGTAAAATACTGAATTTTTTAAAAATAAAAAACGTTTTAATAACTAACCAATGGTTTTACTAACCCTGCTCTTGATTTACGCTACGACAGAGCTATTTTTAGATAACACAAGGAAATTGCGCTAAAATTGTCACTAGACTTTTTTTAATTACTTGTTTTTTCTCCATCTCTCATTCGTCCAATCCTGGGAGAAAAAAAGTCCTAGACCTTTCATAAAATACTATGAGAAGTACTAGGACTGGACAGAAAATCCACTTTTTGTTTAGTAAACAAAATAAGGATTCTCTCATATTTTCGCGCGAAACGATTGCTCAGTCACTCAGCAGTCACTCACGTGATCACTAAAACTATTTCAAGAACTTCCGGTCGATTGAAGAATGTAATGTTGGGAGTATTACCGAACCAATAGTAACAGAAACGAAAGAAAAACAGTGGTAACATATGAAAATAAAGTGACTAAATCACACGCTTTACTTTGATACAAGTTTGAATAGGAAGGTTAATTATACATAGCTTCTAGGTAGAAGTTTGAAGAAGGAGATTTTATAGCATTAGGCAAATGAGGTCGTCCATAAATGACGTCACACTCGTAGGGGGAGGAGGGTCCGTAATGTTGTAACGGTGTGTGGTGAGGGGGAGGGGTGAGGGTTATGATGATGTGACGTCACACTCAGTGTTTCTTCCAGACTTTTTTCTCCCGGGAGTGGGGGGGGGGGGGGCACTTGAAATTTGGGGGGGGGGGGGGCACTGTTAAAAGCATATATTTTCTATTTAAATTTCATTTCGTTCCGGGGGGGGGGGGGTAAACTTTTTTCGGGGGGGGGGGGGTTGTAGGCTGAGGTGTGACGTCATTTACGGGAGGGGGGGTGTCTGGCTTTTTGTGACGATGTGTGACGGAAGGGAGGGGGGGGGGGGAAGGTAAAATCGTCAAAAAAAGCTTTACGTCATTTATGGATGACCCCAAAAGATTCTATAAAAAAGAAAGGATATAAATAAAAATTTCTGTAACGTTTCAGTGAGCTATAGAAAAAAGTAGAATTTTACATTATTATGAGTTTTGTTGTTTACATAATTAGTCTATGTGCAAAGCGTAAAAAAGAAAATGATCTTAATCAGAAAATATCAATAATCACTTAAATGATAAGGAAAAATAAAAACACCATAGAAGAAAATGAAAGCTGATCATGGTTCACGTGTGGTGTTTTGGTTGAATTACTTCGATTGCTGGTTACAAAATTAGATCAACATCACAGAAACAAACCACAGCAATCATTGCTGAAACATGAACACACAAAAGGCGGATATAAAGTAAAAAAAAAAAACGGAGGGCACACAAATGGCTGAACTATACCAGGAACTTGTGGCTTGCATATGTGAATCCCCTTGGGGTTCTAGGCTCTAAGCCGTGGCTTGGGTAACAATGAACCAATGGCGCCAACAAAATCCCCCAAAAATAAATGACAAATGTCTCTGGTTTTTGCCCAACCACCCCCATCCCACCCCCAAACACTACAAATCCACCCCCAGTTTTCAGCCTGGAATGAAAATAAACTAATAACAAGACAGTTGGGGGGGGGGGGGGTGGGGACAATTTTTAGCAAATAATCAGAAATTTGAACAGATGGAGATCCTGTCTGGGCGTGCTGTCTTTAACACTTAGATAGGACGTCATGACTAGGGGTTTTTTTTGGGGGGGGGGGGGGGGGGGTGTCGTGACTAGTTTATTTTTGAGGGTGTCATGACTAGGGTTTTTTTTTTGGGTTTGTCATGCCAAAGGGTTTTTGGGGGTGTCATTGCAAGGGCTTTTGTGGTGTCATTTCTAGGATTTCTGGGGTGTCATTTCTAGGTTTTTTGGGGGTGTCATGACTAAGTTTTTTTTGGAGGTGTCGTGTCTAGGTTTTTTTTCGGGTTTTTTTAAGGGTGTCATGACTAGTTGTTTTTTTTTCAGCAGTTTCATATTTAGGGGTTTCATATCTAGTTTTTTTAGGGTTTCATGTCTAGGTTTTTTTTTAGGGTTTTATAACTAGGGTTTTTGGAGGTGTCACGACTAGGGTTTTTTGGGGACGTCTTAATTAGGGTTTATGGGGGGAGGGCGTCATAATTAGGGCATCTAGCATTTATGCGCATTTATAGGGATGTCATGATTAGGGGTTTCAGGGGAAATTATAATTAGGGCATCTAGGGGACATAATGACTAGGGATTATAGAGACCCCCCATGTCTAGGGTTTTCAGGAAACGGGGTGGGGGGGGGGGGTGGCGTCATAACTAGGGTCATTGGGAAACGCCATAACGGGTTTTTAGGGGACGTCATGACTAGGGGTTTTCTACCCCTCACCGAAGTTACATAACGGCAAAATGGTTTTTTCAAAACTGATAGACCCAGTACCCACCTCCACGATCCACCATCCCCACCCAATAGCAAAAGTAATTTTTTTTAAAGTTACGCGATTACATATTTGTAGTCCCATAATTTTAATGTAAAAATATTGCGTATTTATAAGAAATTTATTTAACGAATTTTTAAAAATTCACAGTCCCAAAACGCCACGAACGGCCCATCTTAAGTAACGAAATATCAGCATTTTAATCTTTAAATTATCACGATCTTGAGTCTGGGGCAGAGAATAATGGACGCCAAAACTAAATCTAAAAAAAAAACAAAACAAAAAACTGACTTATTTTTTGGCAACAATAGACTAGCATTATCAATCTGGCAACCACGAGCACTTATTCCCTGGCCATCACGTGATCGCCTGTGGGGAATGGCCGGGGGAATGTAACGAAGTCAAGACGACAATGGATGGTCGGGAATTTTTTTTTGGAGCTGCTTCCAAGAAATAATCATTCATACGAGTCTTGCAGACGACGTATAGCTCTGACGATATATTTAATATTTTTTTTACAAACTATTTAAAGTAGAGTGGGTATGAATAAAGTTGGAAAGAGTTGGATTGTGAAAGTAGAGAATATTTAGAGCCATACTGAGGCGTAGCGACCCTTCCCGGCGACCGGGGACAAACTTTTGATTTGCACCCCACCTCGAACTTTTGATTTGCACCCCCCCCCCCTTAAACTTTCAATTTGTTTTTCCAACCCATTTTGGCGCCCCCCTAAGGTCGGCGCCCGGGGGCATATGTCCCCCCCTCGCTTCGCCTCTGATGCCATAAAACACCAGGTTCAGTTCGAAATATAAAACTAAGAGAGGACTTAGCACAATCAGCTTTTTTAAAATCAGCGTTATGAATACTGATATCATCCCTAACCTATCCTTATTACTAGACGTTAAATCTAACCTGGGAATAAGTGGCTGGGAGGCAGAGCGTATGACTGCTAATCCAAAAGTCTCGAGTTTGGATCCCGAGCTCAAGTCCTT